TTAGCCTGTTATTAGTTAGCACCTAACCGTTAGCCTGTTATTAGTTAGCACCTAACCGTTAGCCTGTTATTAGTTAGCACCTAACCGTTAGCCTGTCATTAGTTAGCACCTAACTGTTAGCCTGTTATTAGTTAGCACCTAACCGTTAGCCTGTCATTAGTTAGCACCTAACCGTTAGCCTGTCATTAGTTAGCACCTAACTGTTAGCCTGTTATTAGTTAGCACCTAACCGTTAGCCTGTTATTAGTTAGCACCTAACCGTTAGCCTGTCATTAGTTAGCACCTAACTGTTAGCCTGTCATTAGTTAGCACCTAACCGTTAGCCTGTTATTAGTTAGCACCTAACCGTTAGCCTGTTATTAGTTAGCACCTAACCGTTAGCCTGTTATTAGTTAGCACCTAACCGTTAGCCTGTTATTAGTTAGCACCTAACCGTTAGCCTGTCATTAGTTAGCACCTAACCGTTAGCCTGTTATTAGTTAGCACCTAACTGTTAGCCTGTCATTAGTTAGCACCTAACTGTTAGCCTGTTATTAGTTAGCACCTAACCGTTAGCCTGTTATTAGTTAGCACCTAACCGTTAGCCTGTTATTAGTTAGCACCTAACCGTTAGCCTGTCATTAGTTAGCACCTAACTGTTAGCCTGTCATTAGTTAGCACCTAACTGTTAGCCTGTTATTAGTTAGCACCTAACCGTTAGCCTGTTATTAGTTAGCACCTAACCGTTAGCCTGTTATTAGTTAGCACCTAACTGTTAGCCTGTCATTAGTTAGCACCTAACCGTTAGCCTGTCATTAGTTAGCACCTAACTGTTAGCCTGTCATTAGTTAGCACCTAACCGTTAGCCTGTTATTAGTTAGCACCTAACCGTTAGCCTGTCATTAGTTAGCACCTAACTGTTAGCCTGTTATTAGTTAGCACCTAACCGTTAGCCTGTCATTAGTTAGCACCTAACCGTTAGCCTGTCATTAGTTAGCACCTAACTGTTAGCCTGTTATTAGTTAGCACCTAACCGTTAGCCTGTTATTAGTTAGCACCTAACTGTTAGCCTGTTATTAGTTAGCACCTAACCGTTAGCCTGTCATTAGTTAGCACCTAACCGTTAGCCTGTCATTAGTTAGCACCTAACTGTTAGCCTGTTATTAGTTAGCACCTAACCGTTAGCCTGTTATTAGTTAGTACCTAACCGTTAGCCTGTCATTAGTTAGCACCTAACTGTTAGCCTGTCATTAGTTAGCACCTAACCGTTAGCCTGTCATTAGTTAGCACCTAACCGTTAGCCTGTCATTAGTTAGCACCTAACCGTTAGCCTGTTATTAGTTAGCACCTAACCGTTAGCCTGTTATTAGTTAGCACCTAACCGTTAGCCTGTTATTAGTTAGCACCTAACCGTTAGCCTGTTATTAGTTAGCACCTAACTGTTAGCCTGTCATTAGTTAGCACCTAACCGTTAGCCTGTTATTAGTTAGCACCTAACTGTTAGCCTGTCATTAGTTAGCACCTAACCGTTAGCCTGTTATTAGTTAGCACCTAACCGTTAGCCTGTTATTAGTTAGCACCTAACCGTTAGCCTGTTATTAGTTAGCACCTAACCGTTAGCCTGTCATTAGTTAGCACCTAACCGTTAGCCTGTTATTAGTTAGCACCTAACTGTTAGCCTGTTATTAGTTAGCACCTAACCGTTAGCCTGTCATTAGTTAGCACCTAACTGTTAGCCTGTCATTAGTTAGCACCTAACTGTTAGCCTGTTATTAGTTAGCACCTAACTGTTAGCCTGTCATTAGTTAGCACCTAACTGTTAGCCTGTTATTAGTTAGCACCTAACCGTTAGCCTGTCATTAGTTAGCACCTAACTGTTAGCCTGTCATTAGTTAGCACCTAACCGTTAGCCTGTTATTAGTTAGCACCTAACTGTTAGCCTGTCATTAGTTAGCACCTAACCGTTAGCCTGTTATTAGTTAGCACCTAACCGTTAGCCTGTTATTAGTTAGCACCTAACTGTTAGCCTGTTATTAGTTAGCACCTAACCGTTAGCCTGTTATTAGTTAGCACCTAACCGTTAGCCTGTTATTAGTTAGCACCTAACCGTTAGCCTGTTATTAGTTAGCACCTAACCGTTAGCCTGTTATTAGTTAGCACCTAACCGTTAGCCTGTTATTAGTTAGCACCTAACCGTTAGCCTGTCATTAGTTAGCACCTAACCGTTAGCCTGTTATTAGTTAGCACCTAACCGTTAGCCTGTTATTAGTTAGCACCTAACCGTTAGCCTGTCATTAGTTAGCACCTAACCGTTAGCCTGTCATTAGTTAGCACCTAACCGTTAGCCTGTTATTAGTTAGCACCTAACCGTTAGCCTGTCATTAGTTAGCACCTAACTGTTAGCCTGTTATTAGTTAGCACCTAACTGTTAGCCTGTCATTAGTTAGCACCTAACCGTTAGCCTGTCATTAGTTAGCACCTAACCGTTAGCCTGTTATTAGTTAGCACCTAACCGTTAGCCTGTTATTAGTTAGCACCTAACCGTTAGCCTGTTATTAGTTAGCACCTAACTGTTAGCCTGTCATTAGTTAGCACCTAACCGTTAGCCTGTTATTAGTTAGCACCTAACCGTTAGCCTGTCATTAGTTAGCACCTAACTGTTAGCCTGTCATTAGTTAGCACCTAACTGTTAGCCTGTTATTAGTTAGCACCTAACTGTTAGCCTGTCATTAGTTAGCACCTAACCGTTAGCCTGTTATTAGTTAGCACCTAACCGTTAGCCTGTTATTAGTTAGCACCTAACTGTTAGCCTGTTATTAGTTAGCACCTAACCGTTAGCCTGTTATTAGTTAGCACCTAACCGTTAGCCTGTTATTAGTTAGCACCTAACCGTTAGCCTGTTATTAGTTAGCACCTAACCGTTAGCCTGTTATTAGTTAGCACCTAACCGTTAGCCTGTCATTAGTTAGCACCTAACCGTTAGCCTGTCATTAGTTAGCACCTAACCGTTAGCCTGTTATTAGTTAGCACCTAACCGTTAGCCTGTTATTAGTTAGCACCTAACTGTTAGCCTGTTATTAGTTAGCACCTAACCGTTAGCCTGTTATTAGTTAGCACCTAACTGTTAGCCTGTTATTAGTTAGCACCTAACCGTTAGCCTGTTATTAGTTAGCACCTAACCGTTAGCCTGTCATTAGTTAGCACCTAACCGTTAGCCTGTCATTAGTTAGCACCTAACCGTTAGCCTGTCATTAGTTAGCACCTAACCGTTAGCCTGTTATTAGTTAGCACCTAACCGTTAGCCTGTCATTAGTTAGCACCTAACCGTTAGCCTGTTATTAGTTAGCACCTAACTGTTAGCCTGTCATTAGTTAGCACCTAACCGTTAGCCTGTCATTAGTTAGCACCTAACCGTTAGCCTGTTATTAGTTAGCACCTAACTGTTAGCCTGTCATTAGTTAGCACCTAACCTAACCGTTAGCCTGTCATTAGTTAGCACCTAACTGTTAGCCTGTCATTAGTTAGCACCTAACCGTTAGCCTGTTATTAGTTAGCACCTAACCGTTAGCCTGTTATTAGTTAGCACCTAACCGTTAGCCTGTCATTAGTTAGCACCTAACTGTTAGCCTGTCATTAGTTAGCACCTAACCGTTAGCCTGTTATTAGTTAGCACCTAACCGTTAGCCTGTTATTAGTTAGCACCTAACCGTTTAGCCTGTCATTAGTTAGCACCTAACCGTTAGCCTGTTATTAGTTAGCACCTAACCGTTAGCCTGTCATTAGTTAGCACCTAACTGTTAGCCTGTATTAGTTAGCACCTGTTAGCCTGTTATTAGTTAGCACCTAACCGTTAGCCTGTTATTAGTTAGCACCTAACGTTACCGTATTAGTTAGCCCTGTTACTGTATTAGTTAGCACACGTCCTGTATTATTAGCACCTGTTATTAGTTAGCACCTAACCGTTAGCCTGTTATTAGTTAGCACCTAAACCGTTAGCCTGTTATTAGTTAGCACCTAACCGTTAGCCTGTCATTAGTTAGCACCTAACCGTTAGCCTGTCATTAGTTAGCACCTAACTGTTAGCCTGTCATTAGTTAGCACCTAACCGTTAGCCTGTTATTAGTTAGCACCTAACCGTTAGCCTGTTATTAGTTAGCACCTAACCGTTAGCCTGTCATTAGTTAGCACCTAACCGTTAGCCTGTCATTAGTTAGCACCTAACCGTTAGCCTGTTATTAGTTAGCACCTAACCGTTAGCCTGTTATTAGTTAGCACCTAACCGTTAGCCTGTTATTAGTTAGCACCTAACCGTTAGCCTGTCATTAGCTTGCTAAGAGTAGTCAAGATAAATACTACTTAATTAACGCTATATTTTATTGCTTTAATTAATAGCTACATCATGTGTTTGCATTTACAAGTTATGGACAGATCCTGCTGAATGTTGGCATCTTTGCTCGTATTTTCTATTCGAGTTTTAGCGCCTTTATGATGGCGCTAAAAACGTAAATAGAAATGTTAGTTTGGAGCTCCATCATTTATTGCTAGAACTTCCAGAATAATTGTATTTTTTTCCTGCAGACACTTGATTTTCAAAGATCAATTTTATCTTTATTTCATGTTATAAAGATCGGTATGTTGCTGTGTAGAGCTCTGAAATTCATGTAGTTAAACTTGAGTCCAATTCGACTGCTTTAAACAAATAAAAAAAATCGTGTGAATGTTCCATAATTCTTCTCCCATGTTTCAATTTTGTCTATTTTTTCATTCTCAGAGTGGAATGCACAGGGTTAGGGTTAGGATCTCAAATTGAATCAAAACTGTTTATTTTGCAGTGTGAATTTCCTTCAAACTAAAATTACAATTCATATCAATTAATTATTGTGAAATTCTATCCAAACAGTTGCACGTCCCATTGTGGCCCATATTGGATAACATTTTAGTATTTCTCAAAAAGTGTTTTTTTGAAGATGCCATTCAGGACATTCCTTGTTGAAGAGTTTTCTGTCTTCTCTTCAGGGTCAATGGAAGCTGACGAGCTGGAATGCGATGAGCTGGAGGTGACCAGAGAGGAGCTGGTGAAGATAATTCAGGACCGGGTGAACTGCAGGCTGCTCCAAACACCTGCAAACTTATCCAAACTGAGTACGCTGCTCTCTCTGTGGAACGAGAAGGAGAAGCTCTACACAGATCTTTATAATCTATTTGAGTGAGTGTTTCAAGGAAGATGTGACAGACCCAGGGCTAATATTGATTGGTTTTACATTATTACTGCTCTAAAACCTTCCATTATTTCTCAAGTCAATCGAGTAACAACAATAATTAAATTAAACTAGTGATGGGCAAACAACACCGAGGTTCCGGAGCTCGTGTCGCTCTTCCTGAAGCAAACGGCTTCGAAACAGTGCGTTGGAGCGCATATCAAAACAACCGGTCACGTGACAAATGCGTCAGTGTCTCAGACTCTGCAGCAGCTGCTTCGCTTCGTGTGTCACTGCTTAGGTGTTTCACTGCTTCGGTGTGTCATTGCTTCGGTGTGTCATTGCTTCGGTGTGTCATTGCTTCGGTGTGTCATTGCTTCGGTGTGTCATTGCTTCGGTGTGTCATTGCTTCGTGTTTCACTGCTTAGGTGTGTCATTGCTTCGGTGTGTCATTGCTTCGTGTTTCACTGCTTAGGTGTGTCATTGCTTCGGTGTGTCATTGCTTCGTGTGTCACTGCTTAGGTGTGTCATTGCTTCGGTGTGTCATTGCTTCGGTGTGTCATTGCTTCGGTGTGTCATTGCTTCGGTGTGTCATTGCTTCGGTGTGTCATTGCTTCGTGTGTCACTGCTTAGGTGTGTCATTGCTTCGGTGTGTCAGTGTTTCATTGGCTCAATAGGTTTCCCGGCTTCTCATTGGTTCAGAGAGTTACATCTGAGTGCTTTCAGTGGATAAGGCTAACTAGCTACAGTATAAATGATGCATCCAAATTTTTTCAGTGTTGTGTAGTAAGGAGGTGTTGAACAATAATCAAGTTATATATATTTTACCATTCATGTTTCATGGTGAAATAGTCATTATTATTAAAATGCGGTGGGGTGTCTGTTGTGCACTCAATTTAGGAGCCGCAATGATTATATTTGTCCACTAGATGTCAGTGTTACAAGCTAGTATGAACTCAAAGACATCAGCACCTTTGAAACAATCTGCCCGTCACTTATAATTTTTTGCTGCATTCAAACTTACAATACAAATATTTAGAGTCTTGTTTCCCCAACTCTTGATATGAACTTTGATAACACATTTCTTTCTTTTGTTTGTAGGTCCGTTTCAAAATGTGAAGGTGTTGTCAGACAGCTGTATAAAAAGTTAGGATGGCAATATAAAGACTTACTAGATGGCAATGACTTTGAATCAAATTGTGGTAAGATTTAGTTTTTTCTCATCATTCAGATGCATGAATCATTAATGAAATGCGCCAACATTCATTTATACAAAAACTGCTACTTGGTAAAATCACATTCATGTATTTTTAGGGTCTACGTGTGAACAGACTGACGATGAAGATGAATGCCATTCTCCTGCCTTAAGCAATACTCCTACTATAGTTGTAGAAGAAGAGAATGCTAGTCTTATGACCCAAAACAAGTTTGAGCTGAAAAAAGAACTCAGAGTACTTCTAATTCGTCTTCCCGGGCAGCTGAGGCCCCGGAAGCCTGCCCCTCCACAACCGCCAAAACGGGCACTTGTCCTTTCTGATTCAGGTGATAAACGTGGCCGGCAAAAATGCAAGAAATTGAGAAAAGATAAAAAAACAGCCAGAGGAGCAGTGCCACAGGCAACATGTCAACCCCAAGCAGCCGCCGTTCGACCAGCCAGTAAGTAGTCACAGGTACTTCATTAACTAAATCATCTTAATGAAGCTTTTTACTTTGAGCAACAACTTGTAATAGTTTATGATAATGAGGACTGCATGTGATGAATCATTACTTTCAAAGGAAGAGATTATTTACACCCTGTTTAGCCCAAATTATTGTAATGTTGTTACTGGTTCTTCTCATTTCAACTGAGAAACTCAAATCCACAACTTGAAGTATACATTCCTGGAGAAAGTACAAACATTGTGATGATGTGCCTTTGTTTGTGGTTTGTATTTTGATCCATTATTTCTTATGTAGAGCAATTGAAAAAAAAAGATGACCAGCCACCACTGCTTGGAGACATTTGTATTGGAATGAGTGTCTTGGCAAGAAGGAAACAAATGAGATGGGAGTGCGGAAAAGTATCTGAAATAGTTGAAAAAGGTCTTTACCTAACATGTGCTCTCTAATATACAATACAATACACTTTATTCTTGTATAGCCCTAGGTCACAACAGCATAATCTCAGAGACTTGACAAAACCATTGAAATACAGGTCAGACAATCAACAGTTAAAACACATGAAAAATATAAAGCACACACAGAAGAAAATGTCCATACATGTTGTAGAATGCTAAAGTGTCCTCTCTCTACAATATAAGCATTATGTTATTGACGAACCAAAAGAACAGACCGAATACTAATACAGTACAATGTTTGTTTTGCGGCAGACGATGGCACAAAGAAATACAAGGTCATTTTCGAGGACAAAGGGAAGGTATTGGTATCCGGACATCACATCGCCTATGACGGAGTCCCAAAACTGTCGTCCCTGACTCCATGCGTACGTGTGGTGGCCAAATGTAAAACTGGAAACACGTTTTACTCTCCAGGGATCTTGGCTGAGCTCCCATCGAGGAAAAATCACATGAGGTTGGCACTTCACATTCATCCATTATAAAACATTTACACAAACATAGTTTGATATTTTTGTTGTTCTCTTTGTAGGTTTCTCATTTTTTTTGATGACCACCAATGTCTTTATGTTGCCTTACCTGTTATCCGCTTAGTCTACAATCCATGTGAGTTGTCATTTCATTAAATTAACTACAGATTTAGTTTGAAACCAAGTGAGCTGATAAAGTACATATGACCTATTACAAAGCCTATCTAGAATGTGCTAACAGCACAATTCGACAATCATTTCATAGAACAACATTTAAAGGGCCCATATTACGCTTTTTGACTTTTCTCTGGTTTAAACATGATTACAATGAAATGATGATGACAACAATGATTACAATAGAAACTGAGCCAGCGAATAGCGCCGTCTTTGCAGCCCATGCAGCGTCTCTCCGAGTCCAGCGCGTTGTTCTTACATGGACAGTAAATAAGCGTCTGTGCTTTTTTGTGTTAGCTTCATATCAACTTGGAGAAAATGTGTTGCTAGTGTAAACATGTGACGAGAGTATTTGGCCGAAGACAAAGAATGAGGCGAAGGGGGATCGACTTTGTTCACGGGGATCTGCCTCATATCCGTGCAAGTGGCTGTGACACCACTAAAGACTGTTCCAGAACTACAGTTACCTTTGAATGGGACCTACTCAAATCTGAGCTGGAAACATGGTGTTATTTCCAACATAAAAGATGCTAACGGGAGCCTGTGCGAGTACAGTGATGCTGTATGTCACTATGAACTAAATAATTAGGGTCTGATTCTGGATCGAGGACATAGGGCTCTATGTGACGGGTTGCCTTGTTGGAAAAAGTTTATTCTCAGGTGTGAAATGACTAACAGTGAAAGCTGTACAGTTAGCTCTTGTTTACCTCAAAACCGTGCGGGCGGGGGGAGGCGGGCTCACAGAGGAGCACTGATCCAAGCGTCTCACATGAGGTGACATCACTTCTATGCACAAAATGGCTATAATATCACGTGTTTTGAGTGTTGTATGGTGTAGCACCCAATTTATTATCACACGTGTGCATAGGATGAACTGAAAAATTAAGAAAAGCAAAATATGGCACCTTTAAATAATGAGTGATTCAATATAGTATTTTTGTGTCATTGTTTGTAACTGATCTTCACTTTGCTCGTTTTTTACAGTGCCTGAACCTCTGGATGACATTTGGAACAAAGAGCACAAAATATTCATGAATAAATATGTAGAACGGATGCCCTACCCTCCTCGGACTGAGCCGCGATTGGGTCAAGTTGTTAAAGTGCAAAACAACGGAGAACTCAAATCCTGCACCGTGGTGCGGTTGGACTGCAGCCTCATCGAGATTGAGTATCATGTAAGTTTAACTTAGATCTTTGCTTCACTGTGAAGAAGATGACAAAGTCTGGGATCGTGTCTTTAATTCAGACAGAAGACATGTTTTATTGTCGTTGGTAGAGACAGCACGAACACGAACAACGATGATACAGAATGCGCCTCCTGTTCGGCGACCCTGCTCCCATCTCTGTGTGGAGTGAGAGGACAAGTGCCCAAAAAATAACAATTGTAAACCGCTTTGTGACTCTGGTCTGTGAAAGGCGGTATATAAATAAAGCTTACTTACTTACTTACTTACTTACAAGTGATAATATACAGCATGGAGGAATGAACACGGTCCAATCAGCTTTCGCTGCGATACCAGTAGCTTGGCCTACGGAATGGGGATGTAAATCAGTGACCGTTTAACCGGTGGTTGACCGTCACAGCGTTAACCGGTCAAAGCTGTCGGTTAAAAAAAAGAAAAGGGGGAGAGGGGAGGTCTCTTAATAACGCTTTTTTAAGCCCTATTTGCACGGTGTGACGGGCGGGTCTGTCTCTAGCTGTGTGCGCCAATGTTTATAACCTGTCATAACCTGGCTCAAGGCCAGGACAAACGTGGACGCAGACAACGAAATGGGATACTTAATGGGTGTTTTATTTTAAAAGAAAATTAACCCAAGTAAAAATAATAATGAGGTGTGACTGTCTGTAGGATCAGTGGTGTCTGCGAGTGAATGTTGTGTGTTTGTATGGTGCGATGTGAGGTGTGATGCCATAAGGTATTTGTATTCTGTTCCCATAACGGGAACAATACAAAGTGGTGTGGGACAGGATGCAGGCTGGGAGAGAGCGAGACTGTCAGCAGGCAGGTCCATAAATAGGCGTGGCGCGTCGGGTCCGGACGCACCACGCACCACAGCTCCACCTGCACACAGATCCACAAGGCAGTACAGAGCACAATGTTGTCAAAAAAAGATTTGACTGACGTGTTCAAAGTTTGAGGCAGAAAACAGACGAAGATATCCAAGTTTAACATCTGTATTTAATTTATCTTTACAATCAGATACAGAAATTCAACAAGCTCCTATCCTAACTAATGTCTGCTCCTTTTCCTAAAAATCTAACCCTTTGAGCTGAGCCATTCTAAAACTATCCCTCCAGGCCTGAAAATGTGCAGAGAACATGCAGGCGCTCTGCCATGTTCTCTGTCTATCTATCCCTGCTCAGCTCAAAATGTCCTACCCCCAGTTTTATCAACATGTCCGATGACGTCATATGGTCTGAGACTGGTCTCTGGTCTGGTCTCTGGTCTGGATTTTGGTCTTGGTTTTGGTCTTCCATATCAGATTTAGCAAACAACGCCCCCACCTCTGCGGCGCCTGATTGTGTTGGACTTTGCTCTCGTCAAAAGTGGGAGAGAACAATGTTTATACATGGAGTCAATAATTGTCTGGTTTTGTAAGCTGGTCTTCTTTATGATTCCTGTACTATCTTGTGTCCTTGTGACTTAAGACCTGAGGGCACAGGTCTTTCTTTTGGCTATGATGAAAATTAGGACCAGAGTTCAAAATGGTCAAATTATTGTCACATCTGTTCAGAGTATATTTTAATACAACAACGACCACAGAGAGGAGGAAGAGGTCGTGACAATTAGTAAACTTATTGGCCGCACGCGCCACATATGCACGCACACATGTACGCGCGCACACACACACACCTACAACATTACCCCCTTCCAATGATACGTAACAAACACATGCATCATCTCTCCCCTCTGTTACAAGTCCGCCAAAGTTGCACATTGGAGCTTACATTTGTACACACATACATGTACACACATACATGTACACACATACATGTACACACATACTGGTCTGTCGTGCTCCTCTGTGTCATGCAGCCAAAAGGATCCTCGCAAATACACGGCTTCAGTCAAACCGTCCGTCCGTTTTCTTCCGCTTCATCCGTTGCCGGGTTGCGGGGGCAGCAGTCTAAGCAGAGACGCCCAGACTTCCCTATCCACACACACTTCCTCCAACTTGTCCGGGGGGACCCCAAGGCGTTCCCAGGCCAGCTGAGAGACATAGTCCCTCCAGCGTGTCCTGGGTCTTCCCCGGGGCCTCCTCCCGGATGCCCGGAGCCAGATGTTGTGTGTGCGGACTGGGTCGCCGAGGTCTCCGCCTTCGGCTGCTGCCCAGTCCTCTCAGCACCGTTTCGCCACCACGGACCCCTCTGCAGGTGGTGGGCCCACAGGAGGGACTGCCCACGTCGTCCTTTCGGGCTGAGCCCGGCCGGGCCCCGTGGGCTAAGGCCCGGCCACCAGGCGCTCGCATACGAGCCCCGACCCCAGGCCTGGCTCCAGGGTGGGGCCCCGGCTGCGCCATGCCGGGCGACGTCACTGTATGTCTCTTAGTGCTGTCCATGGTGTCTCCGGACCGCTCTTCGTCTGACTCGTCACCTGAGACCTGTCTGCCATGGGAGACCCTACCAGGGGCATGAAGCCCCAGACAGCATAGCTCCCAGGATCATCCGAGTACTCAAACTCCCCCACCACGTTAAGGTGGCAGTCCAGGGGGGAGGGCTTCAGTCAAACCACATGGGAAAACTTGTTTGTGCTGCTGGTCCTTGGCATCAGCTCCACATACATCACTTGTATTTAAACTTTAGCGGAGACCTGAACATTGTAAAGCGCTTTGGGTGACCTTGGTCTGTAAAATGCCCTATATAAATAAACATTACATACTTACCTGCAAGACGCGGCTCGTCTTGCACGTCACAAAGCTTTAACCCGCAGCACAGAAGAATGGGAAGATTAAAAAAGCACTGATCTAGTAGAACGCAGAGCTGCACTTATGAAAACTATGCGTCTCGAAATGGCTCAAAGAACGTGGAATATTTTAAACTATGCGGGTAAACTATGAGGCTCGTTGGTCGGTCATAAAAATTCATAGTTTTTTACATCCCTACTTCGGAAATCAAAACATGCTGTGGAAAAGTACTGGCTTGTGCATATTGTTAGAATGATGAGTTAGAACTTTAACCACAGTTGCTTCAAAGTGTCATGAAATACCTAAATTCCCCCCTCTGGTCACACATTCACGTGTGACCATCAGCAATAAACAGCAACATAACATACAGTGCCTTGCGAAAGTATTCGGCCCCCTTGAACCTCTCAACATTTCGCCACATTTCAGGCTTCAAACATAAAGATATAAAATTTTAATTTTTTGTCTTGAATCAACAACAAGTGGGCCACAATCGTGAAGTGGAACGAAATTTATTGGATAATTTTAACTTTTTTAACAAATAAAAAACTGAAAAGTGGGGCTTGCAATATTATTCGGCCCCTTTACTTTCAGTGCAGCAAACTCACTCCAGAAGTTCAATGAGGATCTTTGAATGATCCAATGTTGTGCTAAATGACTGATGATGATAAATAGAATGCACCTGTGTGTAATCAAGTCTCCGTATAAATGCACCTGCTCTTTGATAGTCTCAGGGTTCTGTTTAAAGCGCAGAGAGAACCATGAAGACAAAGGAACACACCAGGCAGCTCCGGGATACTGTTGTGGAGAAGTTTAAAGCCGGATTTGGATACAAAAAGATTTCCCAAGCTTTAAACATCTCAAGGAGCACTGTGCAAGCAATTATATTGAAATGGAAGTAAGTAAGTAATCTTTATTTATATACCACCTTTCACAGACCAGAGTCACAAAGGGGTTTACAATTGTTATTATTTTTGGGCACTTGTCCTCTCACTCCACACAGAGATGGGAGTGGGGTTGCCAGTACAGGAGGCGCATGCCAGACCTATTGTGCATGTTTTTAGTGGTAGGGGAAACCGGAGTACCCGGAGGAAACCTACGCAGACACGGGGAGAACATGCAAACTCCACTCAGAAAGGCCCTGGTCCGGCCGGGATTCGAACCCAGGACCTTCTTGCTGAGAGGCGAGAGTGCTATCCACTCAGCCATCGTGCCGCCCGGAAGGAGTATCAGACCACTGCAAATCTACCAAGACCCGGCCGTCCCTCCAAACTTTCATCTCAAACAAGGAGAAGACTGATCAGAGATGCAGCCAAGAGGCCCATGATCACTCTGGATGAACTGCAGATAACTACAGCTGAGGTGGGAGAGTCTGTCCATAGGACAACAATCAGTCGTGCACTGCACAAATCTGGCCTTTATGGAAGAGTGGCAAGAAGAAAGCCATTTCTCAAAGATATCCATAAAGTCTTGTTTAAAGTTTGCCACAAGCCACCTGGGAGACACACCAAACATGTGGAAGAAGGTGCTCTGGTCAGATGAAACCAAAATCGAACTTTTTGGCCACAATGCAAAACGATATGTTTGGCGTAAAAGCAACACAGCTCATCACCCTGAACACACCATCCCCACTGTCAAACATGGTGGTGGCAGCATCATGCTTTGGGCCTGCTTTTCTTCAGCAGGGACAGGGAAGATGGCTAAAATTGATGGGAAGATGGATGGAGCCAAATACAGGACCATTCTGGAAGAAAACCTGTTGGAGTCTGCAAAAGACCTGAGACTGGGACGGAGATTTATCTTCCAACAGGACAATGATCCAAAACATAAAGCCAAATCTACAATGGAATGGTTCACAAATAGACGTATCCAGGTGTTAGAATGGCCAAGTCAAAGTCCAGACCTGAATCCAATCGAGAATCTGTGGAAAGAGCTGAAGACTGCTGTCCACAAACGCTCTCCATCCAACCTCACTGAGCTCGAGCTGTTTTGCAAGGAAGAATGGGCAAGAATTCCAGTCTCTCGATGTGCAAAACTGATAGAGACATACCCCAAGCGACTTGCAGCTGTAATTGCAGCAAAAGGTGGCGCTACAAAGTATTAGCGCAAGGGGGCCGAATAATATTGCACGCCCCACTTTTCAGTTTTTTATTTGTTAAAAAAGTTTACATTATCCAATAATTTTTGTTCCATTTCACGATTGTGTCCCACTTGTTGTTGATTCTTGACAAGAAATTAATTTTTTATATCTTTATGTTTGAAGCCTGAAATGTGGCGAAATTTTGAAAGGTTCAAGGGGGCCGAATACTTTCGCAAGGCACTGTAAACTGTCATCTCTGACATGTTACCTCATTTTGTTTTCAGGGCGAAGATCGTAAGGAATGGGTTCATCGATTTTGTCTGTGAAATGCACTTTTAAATAAAGATTGGAATGCACCAGTTTGTGCTAATAATCAACCACCTCAGATACACTATCCACAGTTCATCCAGAGTGATCATGGGCCTCTTGGCTGCATCTCTGATCAGTCTGCTCCTTGTTTGAGATGAAAGTTTGGAGGGACGGCCGGGTCTTGGTAGATTTGAAGTGGTCTGATACTCCTTCCATTTCAATATAATTACTTGCACAGTGCTCCTTGAGATGTTTAAAGCTTGGGAAATCTTTTTGTATCCAAATCCGGCTTTAAACTTCTCCACAACAGTATCTCGGACCTGCCTGGTGTGTTCCTTTGTCTTCATGGTTCTCTCTGCGCTTTAAACAGAACCCCGAGACTATCAAAGAGCAGGTGCATTTATACGGAGACTTGATTACACACAGGTGCATTCTATTTATCATCATCAGTCATTTAGGACAACATTGGATCATTCAAAGATCCTCACTGAACTTCTGGAGTGAGTTTGCTGCACTGAAAGTAAAGGGGCCCAATAATATTGCACGCCCCACTTTTCAGTTTTTTATTTGTTAAAAAAGTTTAAATTATCCAATGAATTTCGTTCCACTTCACGATTGTGTCCCACTTGTTGTTGATTCATGACAAAAAATATTTGTTTTTATATCTTTATGTTTGAAGCCTGAAATGTGGCGAAATGTTGAAAGGTTCAAGGGGGCCGAATACTTTCGCAAGGCACTGTACGTACATTTGCATTGAATAATTCCCTTTCCGGGTCCAGCCCTCTGGCTCGGTGTGGTATTGCAGCATGTCTGCGCCCGTCATTTGGGCCACTTTTGAGCCGGGACCCGCCCCCATTGCTTGGAACGCATCCATCCATTTTCTTTCTCTTAATCCATTTCTGGGCGGGGCGGTTGGCAGTCAGAGCTGCAGTGCACCCAGTACACTACACATAGCACCAGCTTGGAACCCTACGTAGGCTGATTTAGCTGGAGATGAAAAATCAGAAGTCTTCGGAACGCTGTGATATTTCCATCTACAATGACTCTGACATTCCATGTTTTGTCAACTATTTTCTGTCACTTTAATGACAGAAAATTGGAGAGGTGTGTGAGATAATTAATATAGTAGTTAAAGAAGCTTTACCCGATTTATTTTCTAATGAGTTCATTAAAATGCGTATAGGTATTAAAATAAACTTGAGCTCATTGATTCAGCTTGTGTATAAGTGCTGAGTAGAAACTTAGCGTGACCTCCAATCACAGAACGAGGAGCGGCGCTATTACAAACAGGCCACGCCTCCTCTAGCCTCTACGGCGCTGCTAAACACAGTAGCATGTTAGCATAACAGTGAGGAAAAGAAGAGGCAACTAAAGCGAAAAAATTATCAAAGAAGAAATCAAGCCCGGGTGTTTACGTTGGACCCTCTGGAGAGACCTGCGGGAGCGGGGCCGCCTCGGACTCATGGATCTAATATAACAACCTCGACTACATTTGGACGCAAAACTAGCGGTAATCTTTCAGTTATATATTTTGTTAGCAATGGGTTTCTTTTGTACCATTTAATCAGGGATTGTTGTACAGCTTACAAGAAGTTGGGCTAATGCTAATGTTAGCATATGTATCAGATCGCAAATAAATCTAGATGGCTCCGTGGGAGGAAAGCGCAGGGGAAATGAGAAGCCTGTGAGCAAGTTGAGGGCGGAGATAAATATTCAAACTGAAAAAAAGCCTTGCAGATCCCTGTCAACGAAAGCTGTGTGTTTCGGAGCTACCTCTGCACATCACTACTAATTTGTTATGTATTTTTATTTTCCCCGTGTCAGGAGAATGCAGTGACAGGCGAGGTGACGGTGAGGGCTCGGTGCTATTGCTTGATCTCATATCAATGTTTTACTTTGGTAAAATAAAAGCCAAGACTATTAGTCTTACTAGGAGTATGATAAAGACACATTTAGGGAGCATGTAATGTTGCAGGGTAGGGTGTTATTGGTTGAATTCTGAGAAAACAAATCTAGTATCAAGTAATCTGAAACAGGTATAATAATAGATGCCTACAAGTTTATTTCTCTTATGTGGGCGTTGTGCTCTTTGTCATGCTTATAGTACACAAATAAAATAAATGCAGTTATACATTTCTATTAGAATACATTCATAACATTTTCTTTTAGATTTGCATGATTCAGGGCCAGATGTGCTGCTCCTCTCAAACAATAGATATAAAGCCAACTAAATGAACTTGTTTATCTGGAAGTCATGAACACACAAGCTCTGGCTCAAATGATTTCTATGATTGATGAAATGAATTACATTCACATGAAAGAGATTTAGAATGTTGAAATGTGTTATGTTGGAAGTTGAACATGAATATATCAATTTACAAAGGAAGGTGAGCCTTATCGAGATCTTTGACGAGTAGTCCGTTCTGATAATTGACCAGCAGACAGGCCACAGTGAAGAGCTGGTTAGTGCTTCCTGCGAGCGACTGAGGGACCACCGTGCTGAAGAGCTTGTGTTCCTTCACTCGGCGGATAACCTGCTCAACATGGACTCTGAGACGTGCAATTGATCGAATCTTCCCGATTCCAGACTTTGACATCTGAGCTTTCCGTTTTAGAAAGGCAGGTATGTGGACTTTGCACGAAACAACATCCTCCACCAGAAAGCCTTTGTCGACCATGACGGCCATGTCAGACGTCAGATAGGACAAAAGTCCAGAGCATTTTGCGATCTCCCCGTCACTTATGCTGCCTTCGTATAAAGGGGAGATAAACATGACAGGACCATGAGGGGCAATTCCTACCAGTCCCTTAAACGTGCTGTAGGACTTGAAGTTAGAGAATACTTCACTTTGCAGCAGGTGAGAGCCAGAGGTTTGACAATGGAGCTCGGTGAAGTAGAGGATGATGTGGGTGTCAGAGTAGTCTTGGAAAACTTCAGGCATGTTTCTTTTGATCGTTTCCTCATCCAACCAAATTCCCACAGCTCCAAGCACATTGTAGAGGAAATTAGCCCAAGCCTTAATGATTTGAGTGACTGTGGACTGGTGGATACCAAAACGACTCGATAAATCACTCTGGACCAGGCCTAATGACAGGTACATCAGGAAGAGGAAGAACTCGTCTATGGGCTGAAGGGACTGGGAAAGAAGAACAATATAGTCAATATCCAATCATAAAATTACATTTTATACAGTAATCAATTGACCAAGGATAATGCCAAACTAAATAGAAACTTACTTCAATCGATTTCAAATTGAATGAAAATATTGTTTTGATACTAGGTTTAGTGTCGTTATATTTGACATCCCCTAAAACTATTAGACAGCATCAAGAGTACATATAAAGTGAAAAGCATACTATGGCAATCGCTTCTTTGAAATGTGGTGCAGGTCGTGCTATTGTCCCACGGACTATTCCGGTTAAAGTTGGCTCAATTTGGCTCCAGAAAGACTTCAGATGGGCATAACTTGAAAATCTGTGAACATTTTAAGGAGGAAGGAAAATGAATCATCAAGACCAATATTTGAGTACCTAAATTCAGAGACACAAGACAAATAATAACGCAATATGTATGTATTGCGCCTTATTAATTTATATAGTTTTCTGAAAGATGCGCAATAATCTTGACTGAGTACAATCAATTTAATAAATTGATACGACCCGAAGGAAAAAATAAATTTGGGAGAGAGCTTGGGAGTTTCTCTGACAGAAGTAGATGAGGTAGACCCGTTAGACCTGCTCCCAACCACATCTTAGCAGACCTTAGATGTGTTAGCCTCAGGATCAGGGGGTGTGTAACCACTCCCACAGGTTATAAATCTCCACCGTACGTTGGATAACCTGCTATCCAAAGTACAGATTATGTATTTACTCATGATTAACTAAGTTGTAAATACGAGGATAGACTATATCTGATGGAAAGTAAACAATTCTGTTCAGTCAAGGACCAAAAAGTGTCCTCTTTAAACTGACTCGGTTCAACTATACAATTCTAAATACAGTGAAACTCAAATTTACCTTGTGTACAACATGATGTCATCATCAGAGGACGCAAACCGCTCCAAACCAAATCTACAGCTGATGGCCATCTCCTCCATTTGTTTTTGAAGCAGCACGTTTTCACCCACTGCTGCGGGCTGAAGAGTGGAGCAGTAGTTGTGTTCAGAATGCTCCACAGGCTCCTCCTTGACATTAGGTATGGTTGGAGCTATTATAGATCCATGGGTTGGAGACAGGGCTCTGCTCTCCCAAACTCCAAGATGTGTGGCAGCCGGTGAACAGCTGTTCCATTGGAACAGAACTGGGATCGCCTTCTTCTGCAGACGCCTGCGTCCACCAGGATGTGACGGTTCAATCACATCTGCTTCTGTAAAGTGACGGCTACAGATGCGAGTGCGATCAGTTACTGTAAACTTGTCTCTTCTGATGTTTTCCTCCCACTTCTTCCTCAACTCTATGTCCTTTGGAAACGAGTGAAAGCTCAAACAGGAATTGAACTTTGAGGACGCTGTGCATTTTGGGACACAGCAGTGCTCCTTACTTTTGCAGTCGCCTCGCTTTTGTAAAGTAATCCAATCTTTCTTAGAAGTCATAGTCAAAGCTAATCCTCAAAAAGAAAGCGCCTCGATATAATTGTAAAACGTTTGCCACCACCTGTAAGCAACAAACCTCAAGCACTCGCACAGGCCGGAAGTTAATTCCCCGTTCTACGCTTACAGGAAATGACCGCGGCGTGACGTCATTTCCTGAGGCTAAGATAAGACTTTATTGATCTCACACAGGAGAAATGTACATGTTATATATTCAAAATATTCTGTCATTGATTTTATGAAAGTGCATATCCTAGGGGTCAGATAAAGGATGATAGCAGGGTTAAGCGGCACTTAGCAGTAGCATGCTCCCTCCCGGGCTGTAGGGGGCGGTAAACAGAGTGTGCTCAGCTCCTGTTTATAGTCTCTGCAGCCTTCGGCTGAACTCTGCTGAGCTGCGCGGACGCTGTTGGAGCTAACACGTGAGCTAACAGCGGACATCTGAGGTAATCTAACCACAACAGCTCAGAAAGTTACAGGTATTTCTGTTTACTCTATGGATGAATCAGAGCACATATGTGGAGGAAATCCAGTGTGTGCTAAATAAGTAGCTATGTTTGCTAAACTAACCATTAGCCTTGTTGTTAGCTAGCTAAATGTAGTCCAGATCAACACTACTTTTCTTTTTAATTAATGCTATATTTATCAGTTTCATCAGTTAATAGTTGCGTGATGTTTGTTTTTGCATTTACAATCGATGGATCGATGCTGCTGAAGTTTGATCATGTTTTCTATTTGAGTTTAGGGCCTTCGTGATGGGACTCTACCGAACAACGGAGAGTTCTTCGTTCTTAATATTTGGCAAATATCTTTCGTGTAATTAGAAATTGTACCCTAACATCATTTTCATGATTGAACTTCCAGTATAATCGCAATTAGTGGTTAAATGACCACACTGCAATTAATTAATTATGTGAAATTCCATCAAAGTTGCACGTCTCTCTGTGGCTGAATACAATACAATTTCTGAAGTCATGTTTCGAGATGCCATTCAGGACTGAAGCCATCCAACTGATTTGAAATGCTATTGCATTGTTTCAATTCATAGATTTTGTTCAACATAGTTTAAACTTTTGTTGCATATTTGTGTGTTTTTAGTAAATCGTAAAACCCCAGCCTGACTAAATTCATTCTTATGAGTTTTCTGTCTTTTCTTCAGGTGCAATGGAAGCCAATGATCTGGAATGCGATGAGCTGGAGGTGACCAGAGAGGAGCTGGTGAAGATGATTCAGGACCGGGTGAACTGCAGGCTGCTCCAAACACCTGCAATCTTAGCCAAACAGAGTACGCTGATCACTCTGTGGAACGAGAAGGAGAAACTCTACACTGATCTTTATAAACTATTTGAGTGAGTGTTTCAAGGAAGATGTGACAGACCCAGGGCTAATATTGATTGGTTTTACATTATTACTGCTGTATAACCTTCTAAGTAGGGATGCATGGATGTTTAACATAACAACTTGGCTGAGGTTTTTCCTTTTTGTTATATATTATATTTCTTTGCAGCTTCAGTTTTTCGTTTTCCTTCAGCTTCCTGCAGTCGCTGTCACCGCCTCCTGCTTCTCAAACGTCCAATGAGATTCTTTGTTAAATGATTTTCTCGCAGCTTTTGAAATATCACTGAACTCGTGCAAACTGCAGAACTCTGATCTTTTTCTGATACTGTTAAATATTGCCACACGAACTCCGCCATCTTCTTTTCTTCATCGGTGCATCCCTACTTCCAATATTTCTCAAGGAAACCAATTAACAACATTAATTTTTCCTGCCTTCAAACTTACAATACAAATATTTAGAGTCTTGTTTCCCTAACCCTTGATATGAACTTTGATAACGCATTTTTTTCTTTTGTTTCTAGGGAAGTTTCAAAATGTGAAGGTACTATCCGACAGCTGTATAAAAAGTTAGGATGGCAATATAAAGACTTACAAGATGGCAATGACTGTGCATCAAATTGTGGTAAGATTTTGTTTATTTAAATCCCAATGAATCGATTATTAATGAAAAGAAACTGCATGCATTAAAATTAATAGAAAAACTACTTGGTAAAAACACATTCATGTATTTTAGGATCTTCGTGTGAACAGACTGACGATGAAGATGAAAACCAAAACCATTCTCTTGCCTTAAGCGATATTCCTATTGTAGTTGTAAAAGAAGAGAATATTAATTATATGACTGAGAACAAGTTTGAGCTGAAAAAAGAACTGCGAGTGCTTCTAAATCGTCTTCCCAGGCAGCTGCGGCCCCGGAAGCCTGCCCCTCCACAACCGCCAAAACGAGAGCTCAGCGATGACGAGCTCTCAAACGCCGATTCAGACTATGAGCCACAAGCAGTTGAGCCTTCCGATTCGGATTCAGACTCTGACTTTTCCTTCTCAAGCGATAAAAGTGGCCGACACAAACGCAAGAAATTGAGAAAAAATGAAAAAACAGCCAGAGGAAGAGTTGTGCCACAAGCCGCACTCTTTCAACCTCAAGCAGCCATTGTCCGACCAGCCAGCAACGCCAGCACATCCAGTGGCTCCTGCGTCTCACAAGAGCGCAGAAGAGAAGAGAAGAGACTCGTAGTCACAGGTACTTTGCAAACTAATTATTCGATTTTAATATTCGAGACAGAGATAGAGTGGTAATCTTTGTTTTGTGGTTGGTCTTTCTTATGTAGAGCAAGTGAAAAAAAAAGATGACCAGCCACCACTGCTTGGAGACATTTGTATTGGAATGAGTGTCTTGGCAAGAAGGAAACAAATGAGATGGGAGTGCGGAACAATATCTGAAATAGTTGAAAAAGGTCTTTACCTAACATGTGCTCTCTACAATATAAACATTAGATTATTGACGAACCAAAAGAACAGACCGAATACTAATACAGTACAATGTTTGTTTTGCGGCAGACGATGGCACAAAGAAATACAAGGTCATTTTCGAGGACAAAGGGAAGGTATTGGTATCCGGACATCACATCGCCTATGACGGAGTCCCAAAACTGTCGTCCCTGACTCCATGCGTACGTGTGGTGGCCAAATGTAAAACTGGAAACACGTTTTACTCTCCAGGGATCTTGGCTGAGCTCCCATCGAGGAAAAATCACATGAGGTTGACACTTCACATTCATCCATTATAAAACATTTACACAAACATAGTTTGATATTTTTGTTGTTCTCTTTGTAGGTTTCTCATTTTTTTTGATGACCACCAATGTCTTTATGTTGCCTTACCTGTTATCCGCTTAGTCTACAATCCATGTGAGTTGTCATTTCATTAAATTAACTAAAGATTTAGTTTGAAACCAAGTGAGCTGATAAAGTACATATGACCTATTACAAAGCCTATCTAGAATGTGCTAACAGCACAATTCGACAATCATTTCATAGAACAACATTTAAATAATGAGTGATTCAATAATAGTATAGTGTGTCATTGTTTTTGACTTCACTTTGCTCATTTTTTACAGTGCCCGAACCTCTGGACGACATTCGGGACGAAGAGCATAAAAAATTCATGAAAGAATACGTAGAACGGATGCCATACCCTCCTCAGACTCAGTTCCGCGAGGGTCAGGTTATTAAAGTGCGACACAACGGAGAACTCAAATCCTGCACCGTGGTGCGGCTGGACAGCAGCCTCATGGAGATCGAGTATGATGTAAGTTTAAGTTAGTGCTTTCAAAAGCAAAATCTGTCATCTCATTCTGACATGTTCCCAACATTTTGTTTTCAGGACGAAGATTATAAAGAATGGATTTATCGAGGCTCTATGAAATTAGAGCATATGATCATTGCAAGAGAAAATTTAAGGCTGCAGCAGCTGCAGCAGCAGCAATAATGGATGATGATATGAATCTCAACATTACCTGGACTTTGAATTATGTGTCTTTATGACTTAAACATTGTATGCCCTTTTAGAAAGTAGTAAAAATATAACTGCATCACTTTTGATTGTATAATGTATCAAAACTAATCCTTGTCTAACCCTTTGTTTTGTTTTTTACTTTTGTAATTTACCTTTCACTAGTTCAATCCTGTATAATCTTCTGTTGTACGTCTTTTAAATAAAATTTATGTTTTTTACATGTGCAACCAGTCTTTTCTTATAATTTATTGGTAAATCTTTTATTTTAGGCTCTTGTGTGTCAGATATACTTTGTGGATTCCTGCACTAAAATGCATGTGTTTCACTTCTCCCGTGAGTAAACTCGAAATATCAGTTTCTCCATGAAACCCATGGAAGACCTTGATATTGTTTTGATTTCCACAAGCGTTAATGTAAATCACGCTATAGACGAACACTAAACTTTAAGTGTAAAATCAGTCCTAGTGAGACAGTAGTTATCCTCAGCGTCGGGCGCAGGGGGCGTCTCTGCGGCTCCTCCACAGTCGCTCACAGACGCTGCTAACGCTGCAGCAACAAACAAGTCTCACGGACACCACTGAAAACGCCATCACGGATTTCCTGTGGGACAAACACACGGGCCTCGCCGCTAAAACGGTAACGGCCTGAACTGTTGGAGCTGTATTTGTTCTGAGTAAAGTAATTAAAGTAATCAACCGTCTCCACCGGAGCTCGCGCCTGCAGCCGTCCAGCTCCGAGAAGATGGCGGTCGAATTATTTACATTCGCAATGCTAATGCTAATGCTAATGCTAACCTAAACAACGGCTATCGGGTTTCCTTCTGCAATAATGACCCTCACACCACCCAGTATATCTGTGGTTATCTGTTGTCACATACCCAGACAGCAGAGGCACTCAGCCTCCACATGTGTCCGGAGAAGGTGAACGGAAAGAGGGAATTCCATTTAGGGAAGATCAGCAGCGACTGGAGCCAGGAATAGTCTGTTTACCTTATGACCACTTTTAACGAGCTCTCAGTTGCTTAACATAGATTTGAACAATATTGAGTGTTTGCACCAAGCTAAATAACGTATTTTGTGAAACAGTAACTAGCTGTTCATTCGTAGGCAGACACCAAGCTTTAGGCTCGCTGCATTCTTCTCTGCTGTGACCATGGATCTATAATAACGGGTTCATCAAACGTGTGTATTTTCAAACAGAGGCATCTCTACTTTGCACCACACCAGGGGTCTCCAACCTCTTCACCCAGAGAGCTACGATAAAGGCCGAGAGAGCTACTCCTTTAGGCAGTATAAAAGAAACTTGAGTCATTTGGATTGTTTATTGGTGTTTAACAGTAAGTGATTGGTTACTTTTTATGATTTTAATATATATTTTCTTGTTTTGCTGCAAGCACCTGGAGTTGCCCTCAGTATGAACTGTGCTATACATATAAACCTGTATTGCCTTGCCAACTGTTATACATATTTAATGTACAGAATTAGAGATGTAAACAGGTGTAGGCATAGCAAAGATGAAAAATTATCTCTCTAGTCTCTGATCTCTCTCTCTGGTCCCTCTCTTGTCTCTCTCTCTTGCTGGTTTCTCTGTCTGGTCTATTAAATACTAAAGGATTCTTTGAAATGTACTGGAGACCCCTGATCTAAACGTTCATTTCAGTGTCTGTTTCTCTGTGAAGTATGAACTACTGCTTTTTTGGAGTTATGTCGTAGGATAGAGGTGATGTTACATGTTGGAACAAGACTTGATCGAACTTGCCTGATCTCCGGCAGCATATTTTGTCCAAATAGACGTTCCTGTACATGATTTAAGATTCGGTTGTAGATTCTCCTCCTACATCTCAGACTAAAAGTGCACTGTGTGAATGCATTGCTTTCCTTGTTTTTGTGCAGATGCCTCACAATAGACGGTACACGTCTTCAGACCGGGACAGTAGGACGAGTTATCAGGATCGATACAGGGACCGAGACAGAGACCGAGACCGAGACCGAGACAGAGGGAGGCGATATCGCAGAAGATCGCCCACCTACTCCTCCAGCAGCGAACGGGACAGAAGACAGCGGGGACACAGACAGGAAGGCAGCTATGTGCGCTCAAGGAGGTATCTTACTATTTACTATCATTTATTTGACATTAAAAGAAACAATGCATGGTTTGTTCATTATGGAGTGAATTTCATTAAGACTTGTCCCACTAGGGGAAATTGGATTTGCAGCAAACAATCATCTAAAAACAGTTCTATCTATCATCTATCATCTAAAAACAACGATGTTCTAAAATGACGGTTTACTTTATTGTACCACAGCACTCATTTTACTTCTGACATAGATCAAAATCGTTCTAAATGTACTTATAAAAGTTATAATTGACCCAATTTTGTACTGTTCATGTATTTTCTTTTAAATCATGGTTCTCACTATCTCTGACTGTTGACTCTGAAGTTTTAAAATGAATTCAACACATCTCAAATGCAAATCGAACACACTCTGTCTTTACAGTCGCAGCTTTGGCAATAGGACCGCAGACCACCGGCCGTTTGACAGGAGATTCTGCGAGTACCGGCGTTTGGACCACAGTCGAGAGAGAGACCGCGACAGACAAAGAGACCCACAATCAACCGTCGACAGTTACTACCCTCCAGACCTGGGCCCCAGCGTGTTCGACTACAGACGAGGCCGAGAGCGCGAACGAGAAGGCTCCTACCGCAGAGAAGAGTCGTACAGGCGCGAGGACTCCTACAGGCGGAAAGGCAGCAGGCGTAAGCACAAACGAAGGCGGCGTAGAACCAGGTCCTATAGCCCATCGTCATCGGTGAGTATTACCATGTCTGACTCTGTGCCCTAACGCTCCTCTCTCTGCTTCTTTCACTTCGCTCTGTCTTTCTCTAACCCCTTTTCTCCACAGCCACAGGAATCGGTGAGTAGGACAATCTTGATTTGTTTTATGTTCATGTGGGTTTTATGCCAATTGGCTTTTTTGTTTGGAAGAGCATTTTCATGATGGCAAAGCTGATTCTGAAAAGTTTCATGCTCAAACAAGCCATAGACCATATTGTTCTGTGTGCTATTTTTGTGTGTAATTATAACTGGGATTTAACTTATCGTCGTAGTAATGATTCTGGTCATAAACAAACGGTCGGTATTTGTTTTTGCACTTCCCTGTGAGTCCTGAGGCACCTGGCCTTTTGACTTATGTGGAAGATACACAGCCTCAAACAAAGCTCAGACATACTTTCCCTCGTGAAAATGACCTGCCAAATGGAGTTCTAAATTTATAGAATATTTTTAGGCCTGACGTTTGCCTGTGCAGTGTAATATAGCCACACAATGTATTTCTATAATACAAAGAGCTAGGCTTTGGGGGGTAGTGTTGATTAGCTATTGGCCTCTCACTGTAATGTTTTCCTTCCTGTTTATCTTTTATCTGTATGTTAACCTGTGTTTGCGTTGATGAATATGGATATGCCAGTTGCTTCCTTGTTTGTTAGCAGCTGTTGGATTTTTTGAAAGTGTTGAGGGGGGGATTGGAGCAGAGGCCATCATGTGATCTTTGACCTGTTCCCTTGCACTATATCCCTATCGTTATATATTCCCTTCACGTGGTGTCATGCGTGAACCGCCTAATGACCAACCAAACCCACCAACTACATCAACAACTACTACAACCACATCTCCTCTTCCTGCTCCAAATCTCGCTGTGCTCGGCCTGATGGTGCGATAACAGCGGAGCGCCAGCCGGACCAGGGCACTGAGTGTGAGAGACGACGAAGAGGGGCACCTGATCTGTCGGAGTGGCGACGTCCTACAAGAGAGATGTACTCAATGCCACTACTCTATCGTAACCATATCTGAGTATAGCATTTACATGACATGGGAGTGCCTGCAGATCATGTTGATGAATCCACGCTAGTCTCCACGCTAGTCTCCACGCTAGTCTCCACGCTAGTCTCCAAATTGGCAGGGTGGATGCAATCAGTTTCTTCAGTTGTGGAGCATTTTTTTGCGAATGTTTCACAACTACCCTCTATATGTCGTAGCATCCCGATCGCAGCTCTCGTTTTGCTGGTGTGCAGATAGATATTTTTAGCCACAGGGATCCAGGGTTCAATTGACTAATCTGCTATAGTTAATCCAGCGCACATTTCACACACACTCATACATACACGCGCACACACACACGCACACATACACCTACGCACACATACACACACCTACGCACACACACAGACACACATACATACACCTACGCACACATACACACACACACACACACACATGCTCTTAGGGTATTTCTAGTCTGGGCAAATGTGTGGATTGTTTTTGTTTTGTATTAGGGGAGATTCTACCTTTTTTTTTACTTTCAATGGCTTCAAATTTATCCCCAGTGATGGAGAGGAGGCACTTTACTTCCGCCCCCTTTCTTTACCTGTTAAACCTGTATGACTTAGTGGCCATCGATTTCCCAGAACATTGACTAAGCAGCCATTTGAAAAAGGGATGGACGCTAGAATTGATATACGCCTGTCCTCACTGTTGTATTGTGCGTTGCTGCTGGAGTCCACGTGACTAATTCCCTTTTGTTTTTCTTGTCCCCGCTCTCTCTCTCCTGCCCTCCTGTCTTTGTGCTGTGTTGCAGATGAAATTGTCAGCACTTTGGGAGAAGGCACCTTCGGGAGGGTGATGCGCTGTATAGACCATCGCAGGTGAGTTGTGTTGTCTCTAAACAGCTCCGGGGGAAGAGCAAACCGGTTTTAGAGCTTTGAGTGGGAACTGTTTCAGAACTCACTCCTGCTTGTGTTTTGTTTTTCCTGAACAGAGGCGGCGTTCATGTTGCGCTCAAAATCATAAAGAATGTAGAAAAGTACAAAGAAGCCGCTCGTCTTGAGATTAATGTTCTGGAGAAGATCAATGAAAAGGACCCTGAAAACAAATAGTAAGTGCTCATGTCTAAAGCTTTAAAGTGCTCATGTACGTAGCACCTTAGTGCTAACGGTCTCCTCCTGCAGCCTGTGTGTTCAGATGTACGACTGGTTCGATTATCACGGACACATGTGCCTCTCGTTTGAGCTGCTAGCTCTCAGCACCTTCGACTTCCTCAAAGAAAACAATTATCTGCCATATTCAATCAGTCAGGTCCGACACATGGCCTACCAGCTCTGCCTCTCCGTCAAATGTAAGCATTTACTTCATCAACGTGTTTGTGTGTGACCACTTGAGGGCGTTGCAGATTTAAAAGCCAGTAGGAAACTAATCCTTTCTGAAACTCACTTCTAAAGCTTTAGTGCAGTTTGTCGATGTCTGCTCTAAAGAGAAATGTAAATGTATGTTTCAGTTCTTCACGACAATAAGCTGACGCACACAGACCTGAAGCCGGAGAATATTCTCTTTGTCAACTCTGACTTCACCATGTCCTACAACGTAGAGAAGGTAATGTTTATGATATATATATCATCTATTCTCACTGTATCACCGTCTCCGTGACTAAGTCCTGGTCTGCAGCAGAAACGAGAGGAGCGGGCGGTGAAGAACACGTCGGTGCGAGTCGTGGACTTTGGGAGCGCCACGTTTGACCACGAACATCACAGCACCATCGTGTCCACGCGGCACTACAGGGCGCCCGAGGTCATCCTGGGTGAGGACTACTCTGATATAAGGACTTTCATATCAACAGTATTTTAGTTTCATATGGAGGAGATCAGAAAACCTTTACTCCTCCAGTGTGGCAGAAAACACTTCTTTACATGTTTATATCTTGTAATAATGTAAATATATATGTATTCTCTCAGAGCTGGGCTGGAGTTATCCGTGTGACGTCTGGAGCATTGGCTGCATCCTGTTTGAGTATTACCTCGGGTTCACTCTGTTCCAGGTGAGTGGGATTCTGCAGCTCTCTGTAGGTTTGTGTTCTCGTCCTTTAAACCTGAAACATGTCGCTGTGTTTCAGACTCACGACAACAGGGAGCACTTGGCCATGATGGAGAGGATCCTGGGCCCGGTCCCGTCGCGGATGATCCGGAAAACCAGGTGAACCATCCTGGAGATCGTTACTCTATTTTGATTCTGTTTTTAAAATCTATATCAATGCGTTTTCCATTTTCCATGTATTTGCAGAAAACAGAAGTACTTTTACCGCGGGCGCCTGGACTGGGACGACGGATCATCTGCCGGGAAATATGTCAGAGAGAACTGCAAACCTCTGAGGGTGAGAACTACAAAAACAAACTTTTCTTTGCTCGCGTTATTCCTATTATTAAAAGAAATGATCGTTTTGTAGCAAAGTGTAGATTTTGTAAAATTGGTAGAATACTTAAGTTTGGAATCTAAACCAAGGATGTCAAAGTCAAATACATCAGAGGCCAAAAAAAACAAATTTGCTTCAAGCCGAGGGTCGGACTGGTTCAAAGTTGATTAAAACACAGTGGACCGTATTTTATCAATGATTAAATGAATAATCCAATATTTTCTTATTTCTCTGTGCGCCTGGTTCTAATTCTAATTAAACCCCGGGGCCAAGATGGTTAATTTGCGACCCGCATTCGACCCCGGGCCTTGACTTTGGCCCCTATGATCTAAACTGTTCAATCCAGTGTTACTGCAGTGGGATTTCCCTCGGATCAAGATGTTCCATGGAAACATTTTGTGATTGTGGGAGTTGGAAATTCATAAAAAATAAAATAAATTTTGATTTATTTTAGTTTGATAGAAGAAGAAAGTGTTCTGTTAAAATATCCTCCTGTGGCTTCTCTTCAGTTCAGTTTTTTTACACAAAATTACACAAAGAAAATAGACAAAGTTAGTAAATGTACCACATACTGATCCCGACTAGTTTTCACCCATAACCTTTGACCTTTGACCTTTTACTGATGTCACTAACTTCCTGTTGTGTCGAGCAGCGCTACCTCCTGTCCGAGGCAGAGGACCATCACCAGCTCTTCGACCTGATCGAGAGCATGCTGGAGTACGAGCCGTCCAAGAGGCTCTCGCTCACAGACTCTCTCAAACACCCGTTCTTCGAAAACGTCGGCGTCGCTGAAGCCGGCAGCAGCAAGACCTGGGAGGGCAACCGCGACATCAGCCGGTGACCCGCGGAGCCAGACTCTGAATAACAAACGGCATAAAAACAATGGAAAAAGCATGGACGGCCTGGATTGTTGAGGTGCTTTCGGTAGAGGAGTCTTTGGTCGGTTCGAAGCCCCGTATGCAGCTCATGTCTTCCTCCTGTTTTTACTTGCGGCAAAAATCGACCTTTTTCCGTCCTCCATTTTGCACAGAAGCATGAGAAGCGAAAAGCTCACGTACGAACGATAGAACAGATAAACTCGGTGGGAAAGTCCGTCGGAGCGGTAAAGAACACATTTATTATGAATCAAAACCAAGAGATTGAGACGAGCAGGTTTTCCAAAGTACCTCCGACCTTTTGTTTACGGTTTCTCTTCAGTGAGCACTATTGTATTACATGTTGTGTGTTTTTTATTTACAAAAGTATTCTTTCCATGGGTGTTTCTCAATAATCTGGTTACTGCAGCCTTGTTACCCGACGATAATGGACACTCCAGGCCCCTGTCGCCGGTCCAAATATATAAATATATGTTCAGATTATGGGGGTGTGGGCGCCCGGTTTTATTATGTGCTTTTTCCAGAAACTTTTAACACACAACTTAAACTGCCTTTTCAACAAGAGAGAGATTGTTCGGTGACGCACACGGTTCTGGTTGTAGCAAAAAGTGAACCTCCCCAAACTCACTATTTATTCAGAGTTCTTTCCCCACAGACCGACATGTTCAGGACTTGTTTTTTTGTATGAAATTAAAGCGTATAAAACTGTACATATGTATGATGGTGTAGAATTAAAAAGTGAAGTCTTTACTGTGGCGTGTGTTGCTGGTAGATGAAAAACATGAGGTCATTGTCTGATCATATCTAGTTTATTATTATTATTGAATGAATAAAGTTAATGATACATGAAGAAACATACATGAAACCTCAGCTGCTAAACCAGAAGAAAGCAAACAATAACAACTGAAATCATTTAGCATAGAACCAGACTAAGAACAGTCCTTGGCAGCTCTGATTTTAACACTTGGGAGTTGGAATTTCATAAAAACAAAAAGGAACTGTCTCCTTTTGTTTGGTAGAAAATGGAAAATATCCTGAGGCTTCACTTCGTTCTCAAATATACACAAAATATCAACATCAATTTACTACACTCTGAATATTGCCTCAAAAAATGGGTTCAGATTCAGATTACTTTATTGATCCCACCAGAGGCAATTCTTTAAAGCAGCACATATGATAACATAAAATCACAGGTTTATAAGTGATTTGACAGAACTGCTGCACCTTCTGTGATTCTTCAGAGCTATAACCTGTTTACCTTTGGTCTTTTTCATCCTTCTGAATATGGCCGTCTCCTGTGAATCCACCACTCGACGGTTCTTTGATAAAGTCGGTGTCTGTGTGTGTGAGGCGAGCAGCAGCGAGACCTGAAAGCCCAAAGGTGGGAACTGATTAAAAAACCTGAACCCACAACAAAAACATGAGGCCAACTGTCTGACTCTGTATCTGTCTGTCTGCACAATCAGAAAGACTTAAAAATAACAATACATGACATTACAAACCAAGGCCACATTTCCATTTTGACAAAAGCAATAAGCACTAAATAAACAAGCAGTTAAAGCAGAAAGTTGAAGTTTTAGTGATGGATTTGTAAAACAGCAGCAGTTTTTACAATAAGCATCGAGCATCCGGAATCTTTTCTTATGTTTTTACCATTTTTGACAATTTCACAAATACTGGCTGTAGTTTTGAAGAAGCTGTGACCTTTAAATCCCCTTTAAAATATTTGTTTACCTCAAAACGAACCCTCGGTGCTTCAGAAACCTGCCGTCACGTCCACGTCACTACGGCCTTCTGAGTCTGTGGTGATTAGTGACGCTGCAGAAGAACCACCTGCTGCACGGAAAGCTGAACATCTGCTTCAACATTTATCTCACCGTCTGCCGCTCATTCACAAAACCAACTCTGGCCTCTGCTCTGGTCTCAAAAGGAATCAGTTTTATATATATTTAAACTAACACGTTTTAGGAATCATGGAATTATTTTTCTGAAGTTTTGGCCTCTCTCCTTTCATGTGGTGCTCTGCCGAACCCTGACCCCAGCACAAAGTATTCTGAGATCATAAAGTATCCATCCAACTTCAGCTCTGCCAATGACGACATGTTGTACCTCCAGAATCCAGCCTTTGGAGAGACCACACTCCATGTTAAATTAAATCTCTGAACGGCTCAAATCCTGTCTAAACAGAGTTAGTTTCTGGGTTGCGGCCCCTGGACTAGTCTGAACTAAAGTGGCTCTAAATACAAAGTTCCTGCTGATTTGTTACTTTTTCAAGGCCCTCAAGCTTCACATCAAAGACCCTATGAGTAAAGATTACATACTGTACTTGTTTTCTTACCAATCACACATTCACACTGAAAAAATATATTGTAGTTCACTTGATTTTAGTTTATTAATCTAATCACTGCAAATCCTGATCCACTGTCAGATCATTAAAACAAGTACATTTCCTCTAATAATAGCTGTTTTTTCTTGTTCTTGTGGAGCCACTTTTTGCAGTGCGCACACGTTCACACAGACACTGTTTCTGTTTCTACTTTGTTTTCTTTCCGACCTGCTGCAAAATGCACCATTCATGATTTATTAATGGATCAATGACTCATCGTGATTCGTCATCGTGACTCTCTGGGATTTTCCTGCGTCAGAAAAAACGTCACGATCCTCCTCCAGGCTCCGGTCCAGGCTCCGGTCCAGGCTCCGGTCCAGGCTCCGGTCCAGGCTCCGGTCCAGGCTCCGGTCCAGGCTCCGGTCCAGGCTCCGGTCCAGGCTCCGGTCCAGGCTCCGGTCCAGGCTCCGGTCCAGGCTCCGGTCCAGGCTCCGGTCCAGGCTCCGGTCCAGGCTCCGGTCCAGGCTCCGGTCCAGGCTCCGGTCCAGGCCAGATTTCTGCATTTTTAACCTGCAGCAGAAACGATTCAATAATTCAAAAGCACCGGCTTCAAAGCAGCTTCAAGGTCGTGCAGAACTTTTCACACTCTCTGCTCCTACTTTAGAAATTCCAAAATATAAACTCTGGAATCCCTGTGTGTGTGTGTGTGTGTGTGTTCACAGGAGGATGATGTGATGCCGAGCTGTGTGTGTGTGTGTGTGTGTGTGTGTGTGTGTGTGTGATGCGTGTCTCCCGGAGGATGAAGGGATAAGAAGCTGTAAGGTCTTTGCCTAATCCCCCCCCCCCCCCCCCCCCTGCACAGGTCATCAGTCACACACACACACAGTCACACACAGTCACACACAGTCACACACAGACAACACAGACACACACACGTCCAGGACTTCCATTGGAATACTTTATTATAGCTTCTGTTTTGTCCGGTTCTCCGTCCTGCAGGTAAGTAAGCCTCTACCTTTAAACTACCTAACCTAAAACTAAACTTAAGACTTAACAGACTCAAGACAACACAAAAGTTTTTGAAGCTGGAAACAAATCCAAGCTATTCATTCATTTACTAAAGTCAAAATGAGTTAGTAGTAATATTTCTGGACTATGTCGGACACAATACAACTCTATATTTTCTAATTTTCCATGTTATAATTGTCTATTTTGATTGATAAGTACATTATGTTTCAAAGTTTTCCAGCTCTGACCTTGGTAGATGTGGCTTTTCTGTATTTAATTATTACCCAGATATTCATATAGATTTCATATCATGTGTTTTGTTGTAAACTCTCTGAACCAAGGGTCTTAAAACTTTACTTCTTGAGACAATTTTCACCAATCGGTTTTGAATAGACTCCACAAAGTCTAATCCTTTTGTTTGCAGGGCTCTCGTAGATCCATCTTCACAACATCCAGACCGGTTTTGTCCTCGGCCTCGGTCATGAACTCCCTGATGGCTCTGGGCTCGCCGCTCAAGCACTTCATGTCTGGTCGAGCCCCGTCCCGTAAACGAGGGGGGTCCCAGCGTTCCCAGTCCGTGAGAAGGACCAGCTTTTCCCATAAACGCAGAATGAGCGTCGGGAGGAGGAGAAGTCTGCCCTGCACCAACCAGAAGGTCCCGGACTCCTGGCTGCGGGTCTATCAGGACGAGCTCAAGAGGGAGCGGTGAGGCCAAGGAGAAATAAAACTAGTTTGGATGTGATGTGGGGAGATCAGGGGAACACGACGGCTGGGTAAACACAGATTCAGATTCATTTTATTTGCTATTTACAGTAAAAACACATTGGAACACAGTCGCAAAAGTCCCCAGTTTGTACTTCAGACAAAACAGACTCAAGACGAAAAGCATTTGTTGTGTGTTTTTGAAGCTGGAAACAAATCCAAGCTATTTTTTCATTTACTAAAATCAAAATAAGTTAGTAATAATATTTCTGGACTATGTCGGACACAATACAACTCTATATTTTTAAATTTTCTATGTTATAATCGTCTATTTTGATTGATTTTTGCACTCAATACATTCTTCTATCAGTATTTTTGCATGTTTTTAGCCTCTGTCACTTCTTTGGATCCACCTTTTCTGACTCAGGGTAAAAAGTTTCTCCCAAGATAAGACCGTAGATTGTGGTCTGATTTGTGGTCATCGTTTTACTCCAGTTTTGATGAGCTTATAAAGGCTCTATCTCGGTCAAATGATTGGACTAGAATAGATCCATCAGAAGTTCCATGGTCTTACTCGGTGCTAAAGTCCCTAATGAAGCTTAAGTCCGTGTTGCGGTGCGGGGCCAGACAGACCTATTATTACCCGGTAAAGATGGGGCTTAAGCGGCTCGGCAGGACGGCAGGTGCAATGACTCGTGTTTTTATTCTCTGCAGGAAAAGACAACAAGCCATTTTGGCGAAGAAGAACGCAGAGAGAACCGTCCGAAAAACACACTTCAGAAAACAACACTGTCTTCCCCGAGTAAGAACTATCTCCCCACACACGGGGAGACCGGGCTGAGGGCGACCGGGCTGAGAGCGACCGGGCTGAGGGCGACCGGGCTGGGGGCGACCGGGCTGAGAGCGACCGTGCTGAGGGCGACCGGGCTGAGGGCGACAGGGCTGAGGGCGACCGGGCTGAGGGCGACCGGGCTGAGGGCGACCGGGCTGAGGGCGACCGTGCTGAGGGTGACCAGGCTGAGAGCGACCGTGCTGAGGGCGACCGTGCTGAGGGCGACCGGGCTGAGGGCGACCGGGCTGAGAGCGACCGTGCTGAGGGCGACCATGCTGAGGGTGACCGGGCTGAGAGCGACAGGGCTGAGGGCGACCGGGCTGAGGGCGACCGGGCTGAGAGCGACCGTGCTGAGGGCGACCGTGCTGAGGGCGACCGGGCTGAGGGCGACCGGGCTGAGAGCGACCGTGCTGAGGGCGACCGTGCTGAGGGTGACCAGGCTGAGAGCGACCGTGCTGAGGGCGACCGTGCTGAGGGCGACCGGGCTGAGGGCGACCGGGCTGAGAGCGACCGTGCTGAGGGCGACCATGCTGAGGGTGACCGGGCTGAGAGCGACAGGGCTGAGGGCGACCGGGCTGAGGGCGACCGGGCTGAGAGCGACCGTGCTGAGGGCGACCGTGCTGAGGGCGACCGTGCTGAGGGCGACCGGGCTGAGGGCGACCGGGCTGAGGGCGACCGGGCTGAGAGCGACCGTGCTGAGGGCGACCGTGCTGAGGGCGACCGGGCTGAGGGCGACCGGGCTGAGGGCGACCGGGCTGAGAGCGACCGGGCTGAGGGCGACCGGGCTGAGAGCGACAGGGCTGAGGGCGACCGGGCTGAGGGCGACCGGGCTGAGGGCGACAGGGCTGAGGGCGACCGTGCTGAGGGCGACCGGGCTGAGGGCGACCGTGCTGAGGGCGACAGGGCTGAGGGCGACCGGGCTGAGGGCGACCGTGCTGAGGGCGACCGTGCTGAGGGCGACCGGGCTGAGGGCGACCGGGCTGAGGGCGACCGGGCTGAGAGCGACAGGGCTGAGGGCGACCGGGCTGAGGGCGACCGGGCTGAGAGCGACCGTGCTGAGGGCGACCGTGCTGAGGGCGACCGGGCTGAGGGCGACCGGGCTGAGGGCGACCGGGCTGAGAGCGACCGTGCTGAGGCGACCGTGCTGAGGGCGACCGGGCTGAGGGCGACCGGGCTGAGGGCGACCGGGCTGAGAGCGACCGGGCTGAGGGCGACCGGGCTGAGAGCGACAGGGCTGAGGGCGACCGGGCTGAGGGCGACCGGGCTGAGGGCGACAGGGCTGAGGGCGACCGGGCTGAGGGCGACCGTGCTGAGGGCGACCGGGCTGAGGGCGACCGTGCTGAGGGCGACAGGGCTGAGGGCGACCGGGCTGAGGGCGACCGTGCTGAGGGCGACCGTGCTGAGGGCGACCGGGCTGAGGGCGACCGGGCTGAGGGCGACCGGGCTGAGAGCGACAGGGCTGAGGGCGACCGGGCTGAGGGCGACCGTGCTGAGGGCGACCGTGCTGAGGGCGACCGGGCTGAGGGCGACCGTGCTGAGGGCGACCGTGCTGAGGGCGACCGGGCTGAGGGCGACCGGGTTGAGAGCGACAGGGCTGAGGGCGACCGGGCTGAGGGCGACCGGGCTGAGGACGACCGGGCTGAGGGCGACCGTGCTGAGGGCGACAGGGCTGAGGGCGACCGGGCTGAGGGCGACCGTGCTGAGGGCGACCGTGCTGAGGGCGACCGGGCTGAGGGCGACCGGGCTGAGGGCGACCGGGCTGAGAGCGACAGGGCTGAGGGCGACCGGGCTGAGGGCGACCGTGCTGAGGGCGACCGTGCTGAGGGCGACCGGGCTGAGGGCGACCGTGCTGAGGGCGACCGTGCTGAGGGCGACCGGGCTGAGGGCGACCGGGTTGAGAGCGACAGGGCTGAGGGCGACCGGGCTGAGGGCGACCGGGCTGAGGACGACCGGGCTGAGGGCGACCGTGCTGAGGGCGACAGGGCTGAGGGCGACCGGGCTGAGAGCGACAGGGCTGAGGGCGACCGGGCTGAGGGCGACCGGGCTGAGGGCGACCGGGCTGAGGGCGACCGGGCTGAGAGCGACCGTGCTGAGGGCGACCGTGCTGAGGGCGACCGGGCTGAGGGCGACCGGGCTGAGGGCGACCGGGCTGAGAGCGACAGGGCTGAGGGCGACCGGGCTGGGGGCGACCGGGCTGAGAGCGACCGTGCTGAGGGCGACAGGGCTGAGGGCGACCGGGCTGAGGGCGACCGGGCTGAGGGCGACCGGGCTGAGGGCGACCGGGCTGGGGGCGACCGGGCTGAGAGCGACCGTGCTGAGGGCGACCGGGCTGAGAGCGACAGGGCTGAGGGCGACCGGGCTGAGGGCGACCGGGCTGAGGGCGACCGGGCTGGGGGCGACCGGGCTGAGAGCGACCGTGCTGAGGGCGACCGGGCTGAGAGCGACAGGGCTGAGGGCGACCGTGCTGAGGGCGACCGGGCTGAGAGCGACAGGGCTGAGGGCGACAGGGCTGAGGGCGACCGGGCTGAGGGCGACCGGGCTGGGGGCGACAGGGCTGAGGGCGACCGGGCTGAGAGCGACAGGGCTGAGGGCGACCGGGCTGAGGGCGACCGTGCTGAGGGCGACCGGGCTGAGGGCGACCGTGCTGAGGGCGACAGGGCTGAGGGCGACCGGGCTGAGAGCGACAGGGCTGAGGGCGACCGGGCTGAGGGCGACCGTGCTGAGGGCGACCGTGCTGAGGGCGACCGGGCTGAGGGCGACCGGGCTGAGAGCGACCGGGCTGAGGGCGACCGGGCTGAGAGCGACAGGGCTGAGGGCGACCGGGCTGAGGGCGACAGGGCTGAGGGCGACCGTGCTGAGGGCGACCGTGCTGAGGGCGACCGGGCTGAGGGCGACCGGGCTGAGGGCGACCGGGCTGAGGGCGACCGGGCTGAGGGCGACAGGGCTGAGGGCGACCGGGCTGAGAGCGACAGGGCTGAGGGCGACAGGGCTGAGGGCGACCGTGCTGAGGGCGACCGTGCTGAGGGCGACCGGGCTGAGGGCGACCGGGCTGAGAGCGACCGGGCTGAGGGCGACCGGGCTGAGAGCGACAGGGCTGAGGGCGACCGGGCTGAGGGCGACAGGGCTGAGGGCGACCGTGCTGAGGGCGACCGTGCTGAGGGCGACCGGGCTGAGGGCGACCGGGCTGAGGGCGACCGGGCTGAGGGCGACCGGGCTGAGGGCGACCGGGCTGAGGGCGACAGGGCTGAGGGCGACCGGGCTGAGAGCGACAGGGCTGAGGGCGACCGGGCTGAGGACGACCGGGCTGAGGGCGACCGGGCTGAGGGCGACCGGGCTGAGGGCGACCGGGCTGAGGGCGACCGGGCTGAGGGCGACCGGGCTGAGGGCGACCAGGATGAGGGCAACCAGGATGGGGGCGGGGAGGGAAAGCAAATGTCACAAAGGTGGATACACTTTGAGGACACTTAATAAAAAAAATATCTTATAAAAAATCTATTTATATATGTATATTTAATTTGGCAAAAACAAGGAGAATGTCTTGTAAAAAAATTGCATCTAGTGACTGAAATTGAGAACAATTTTTAAATTTTGACTGTTTTAAATCCAGATTTTTAGTTTTAAGATTGTAAAAATGTACTCTATTACTTGATTAAACCATTGTATTACCTTATATTTGATAATTGGGTGTGACAGTTAACCCCACATTGCCTGAAGCTCCCACTGAAAGACCAGACTGTGTCACCACTGATGTAGCAGCCCCCCCCACCCCCTGCAGAAGATCAGAGGGACTGGTGCTGTGAGACTTGGGGCAGCTCTGATTGTCACCCCCCGACCCAGAAACGGACTAATTAAGGGCTTGAAAATGAATGAATGTATTTGATAATTGCATGTAGTACTAACTGCCACTGTCCCGGGACATTAGGAGCCGCTGATCGCCCTAAACATGAAAGACATTTGATATTTCAGATTTTAACCTTTATGATGTCTGTATCGCAGCAGACGACCATGCCGAGGAAGCCAGCGCCTGTGCCTAAAGATGAGTCCTTCTTTGGGGCGTTCCAGGGCCTGAGTTTGGACGGACTGATGGGAGGATGCCCCGCCCCCACCTCAGCCTCAGCGACCCCAGACCCGTGTAAAGTCATGTGACACCAGCTGGACTTTTCTGCTGATCAGTGTATGGGATTGTTTGCACAGTTTATGATAAATATTCAACTTTTTATGATTTATTCCAGTTTTTTTTTTTTTATGTCAAAACCCAAAAGCGAGGCTGTGTACAGTAGTATTTTATTGACGGGTCATTGATACAATAACACATGCAAAATCACTAATAAACAATCAATGCATCGGTCTCTGCAGCGCACAGCAGGTTTGCATTTGGGGACAGTAGCTTCACTACACGGGGACCTAGGTTTTTTTTAATCATACTTTTAAAAAACTGACTCGAAATTGATTCTCTAAACAAACTGAGGCTTTAACTCTGTACAGCACAGATACAATTCTTCAAATCTGAGTTTTATTCTGTGAAAAAGGACCATGGACACGGGTGGGCCACACATTATGTACAAAAACAGTACAAAACGACATCTGAGAGTCCGGGTCTGCTGTGTCCCTGACGTGATGATGACGAGGCTACAGCAGGCGATGAAGAGGGGCCGTCTCAGAAACAGGAAGTTATTTATAATGTCCAATAACGCTGCGTCATTCCCTCTGCTCCATCTTCACTTTGGGAGGCTTCAGGAACGACCGTTTCTCTCCTTTGTTCTTAGCTTTGCTTTTACTTTTGCCTTTTGCCTGAAAGGTCCTCCAACTGTCCACTCGTCCGTCCCGCGTTTCCTGGAGATATTTGAACAAGATTAATTGTCTTCTTCAAAAAGCTGGAACTTTTGCAGTAAAACCACATTGGAATAGATGCGCAAAAGTTCCCAGTGTGCTCCAGACAAGTACATCACTAAAACAAGGGTAAAAGTACAGGAATAAAATAAACAGAAAATGAATCAAACTAAAACACTTTCAATACAAAGGCAAGATCATTTTAAGTAAAATGAGAAAAACATTCTGCCAGAGGAAGAAGCTGGAACATGGCTTTTCTAGGACCCAGAAGAATCATTGAAAAATGTAAGAGCTTGGTTTAAAAGTCTGGATTCATAAAGAACCTCCAGAAGGGGCAAAGCGGTGGTCTGTCTCTCTCTGGTCTCCCTCTCTCTCTGGTCTCCCTCTCTCTCTGGTCTCCCTCTCTCTCTGGTCTCCCTCTCTCTCTGGTCTCCCTCTCTCTCTGGTCTCCCTCTCTCTCTGGTCTCCCTCTCTCTCTGGTCTCCCTCTCTCTCTGGTCTCCCTCTCTCTCTGGTCTCCCTCTCTCTCTGGTCTCCCTCTCTCTCTGGTCTCCCTCTCTCTCTGGTCTCCCTCTCTCTCTGGTCTCCCTCTCTCTCTGGTCTCCTCTCTCTCTCTCTGGTCTCTCTCTCTCTCTGGTCTCCCTCTCTCTCTGGTCTCTCTCTCTCTCTGGTCTCTCTCTCTCTCTGGTCTATCTCTCTCTCTGATCTCTCTCTCTCTCTCTCCCTCTCTCTCTGGTCTCCCTCTCTCTCTGGTCTCCCTCTCTCTCTGGTCTCCTCTCTCTCTCTGGTCTCCCTCTCTCTCTGGTCTCCCTCTCTCTCTGGTCTCTCTCTCTCTCTGGTCTCCCTCTCTCTCTGGTCTCCCTCTCTCTGGTCTCCCTCTCTCTCTGGTCTCCCTCTCTCTCTGGTCTCCCTCTCTCTCTGGTCTCCCTCTCTCTCTGGTCTCCCTCTCTCTCTGGTCTCCCTCTCTCTCTGGTCTCCCTCTCTCTCTGGTCTCCTCTCTCTCTGGTCTCCCTCTCTCTGGTCTCTCACTCTCTCTAGTCTCTCACTCTCTCTAGTCTCTCACTCTCTCTAGTCTCTCACTCTCTCTAGTCTCTCACTCTCTCTAGTCTCTCACTCTCTCTAGTCTCTCACTCTCTCTAGTTTCTCACTCTCTCTAGTTTCTCACTCTCTCTAGTTTCTCACTCTCTCTAGTTTCTCACTCTCTCTCCCTCTTTTCTTTGACTCTGATGTGACCCAAACCACAGTCACAGAACCAACAAACAGAATTTCAATGATGCAGAGATAAAGTGAAGCAGAATCTTAGAAAGAGGAGAGTCTGATGGTTACACCTTAGTATGCACCTACCCGGATAGTTTTTGATTATCTGTTAGACCAAAATCTGTTTTTTGGACCCAGTTAAGGACAAAAATTCTTCCATGTCAGATTTGTAAATGAAGCAGGACCTTACACACCTCAAAGTTTTTCTGCCACTCCCGATCTCTCTTTGCTTTGTCAGCTGCTTCGATTTCTTCTTCTCTTGCTCTTTTTCTGTCAAACAGGAAGTAAAGACATGAAAAGCACCAAACCCGATCCTCGTGTTACCGTCGATGGGACGTTACCTTTCGTGCATGTCCTTGGCTTCCCTTTCCTTCCTCTTTATTTCCAGTTCTGCAAACAGCTTCATGGTCTGCTTGTACACGGCTTGCCTAAACTGGTTTTAAAGACAAAGATGATGTTGGTATTCTTGTTGGTATAAATTGGAGATGGATCAGACAAAGCTCACCACTTCTGGGTCGTCCTCTTCCACCGTCTGGTCCTTTCCATCCTTCTTCAATTTTTTCCTTTTCTCGCTCACCTTTGAAGAAAAACAGAAAATATGTAACGCCCATGACTTAGAGAAATACAAAAGTAAAAACGACGGACTGACTATGTGCTCGACGTATTCCCGTCCAGCCTGGACCACATCCACAGCCCTCTTCTTTTGGTCTGGGTCCAGGAGGGACTTGTAGGCCTTATCCACAGCTGGACACAAGACACATAAAACATCTTTAACTTATGCAGGGCTCTCCAACCTGTGGCTCGTTACCAGAACCATAATTACATCTATTACGTTTTACAGTATTGTGGTGTAAATTCAGGGTGCTTGCTCTTTTTCCAAACTAAAATTCCAGACTTTTTAAAAAAAACGATACTTTTTCCCCCAAGTCCTTAACTTTAAGTACTTGTAAACTTGTGTGCCTACTGCCTACTTCATTGGTTTAGATTGTACCTACTAGGGCTGAAACAACTAATCGATTAATCGACGACTAATCGATTATTGAAATAGTCTACAACTATTTTAGTAATCGATTAATCGTTTTCTGGTTCACACGGACTCAGAGCAAAAATGACATGAAAATGTATTTTTGATTAAAACCGACTTTGTTTTTATAATTTCATGAATATCTGTCTGTCTCATCCAATCAGAGCAGGATTAGCACAAAGAGCCTGTTACAAACATTTACTTTAAGTTTACGTCCTCGAGTGTTGCCACTTTAGCTTTTTGTGATGAAAAAATATTTTTTTTTCTACACAATTCACAGCCAAGCGATTACTCGATTAATCGTAAAAATAATCGATAACAAAATAATCGTTAGTTGCAGCTCTAGTACCTACTGTGTTTATCAGAAATGTAAATTTTTTTTACCATACATTTTTTCCTCATACTTTAAGACTTTCACACATAATTCAAGACTTCTCAAGGTCTGGAAAACAGTGTTTCAAAATTCCATACTTATCAAGACTTGCGCAAGCACCCTGATATTTATACGTTTTCCATGTTTTGTCATAATCATTACAAAGACATCACGACTGCAAAAAGGAGGTGCTCTCTGCTTCTGTTGTTGCATAAAACAGGCTCTCCCATTGAAAAAGCTTTGAGACCCCTGAACGAGTAGATACTGCTCCAACCATAGACGTTACCTTCAAACGCCAGCTGCGCTCTGTCGGGATCATCTTGGTTTTTGTCGGGATGGACCAAAATGGACAACTGAAAACGTATGCAAACGATCATTTTCTTGAGAACTTTGTTATCTTCATAGCTGAAGGTCTTACCGCTCTGAAACGTTTCTTTAATGCATCATCAGTTGCATCGGAGTCTATTTGAAGGACCTAACAAAAGTAAGACGTTAAAGGCAAAACAGAACACAGAGCAGTGTGGAAGTGTTTTAACTACATAAGTAACTTTGCCAACCTCAAAAGGGTTGAGATTGAAGTAGGAAGCGCCTGGTCTCAGCAGTCTGTCGATCTGCTGCTTAGATGTGAACACAGAGTCTCTCTTCTCAATCTGCTTAACCTGAAAACAAAGTTACATTACATGAACGTTATCAGTTAAAAATCGGCAGAGATCAAAGCAAAAGTATCAGACACAAGAAAATTAGCTACATAATAATAATGCATTGGTTTTACACAACGCTTTTCAGGACACTCAAAGACGCCTCACAAGTCATTATTCATTTTCTCCAAACACAGTGGTGATAAACTACTGTGGCCACAGCTGCCCTGGGGCACACTGACAGAACACACTTGATTCTTGAATGGATACGTTTTCATCAGGACCACACAGACAACAGAAGAATCAACAGAGTCTATGGAGGAGCACCAGTGTCTGCAGTGAATGCTTTATAAATAGCACGACACCGCGGACTCGCCGAGGTTTAGCTTAGCTGTGATGTTTACGAGGCCTCACGACAGATTACATCAAAACTCTCTCATTTTATTCCATATATTTAAGCCGTGTCAATAAAACAGTCCTCATGCACATTCATGGAGTGGCTCCTGGCTTTACCTCGGTGTAAAAATTCTGAAAAAGTTCATCTGATTCTGGCTTCGCAGAAGACTCTCCTCCGGCGGCCGCCATCTTCCCCGCGGTTTACGCAGTGACGTCAGCGCGACACGTGACGTCACTTCGCAAACTGTATCCGTCCATTGTTTGTTTAGATTTAACCAAAAAACTCCATGCTTATATTGACAAGTGCCCATTACATGTACAGCTGACTGATGAGGTCTGAAATCATGCCCCTTTTTACTTTGTATTTTTTGGAAAAAATAAAATAAAATGCTTAGAGAATGTACATTTATTATTTTACACAGAATTTAGCCAATGTGTAATCTCAAGCATCAACGATCTCCTGTCAGGCTCAAATGTAGAAATTAGGATTTTATTCACAAAACAATTAAGTTTCCTCGTAGTCTTTTATTTTATATTTCCTTAGTCTGACCGTGGATGTGCTACATTATTGGAGTAATGAACTGACAAAAAAATAAAATAAAAAACTTATTGAAAAGAGGCGACATACTTACTACTTCCCCCAAAGCAGCACAAGAACCGACAAGTTTTTCAAAGACTGAATGTTAAAGATCGAGTTTGTATTTTTTGCTCACGTGGACAAAATGTTCCTATAAACATTTCACCCACAGTATCTAGAGCATATAGTTCCTGAGGTGTAATGACTAATGAGAATCTGGAAGAAACATTCTCATTATTCATCACGATGACCTTGGAAGTATAAGATACTAGATCTTTAACCAAATCGGTCTCATCTGCATTGCCACAGTGCGCAGGATGGTTGTAGTTTGGTTTTGCGGTGTATGTAACGGGAATAATAGAGGTTGGAGGATGAGAGATCAGAAGCACCACGTTTGTTTGGATTGAAAAAGCAGTTTAGAAAATTGGAAGAAATACACCCCATGAACTCCTTACTCAATGTCTAAGTGGCCAAAATATGATTACAAAAATGTACACAGTGGATCAATGAATAAACTCACATCAACAACATGTATGTAAAGGTTTATAAGTCAATTTTACACATACAAAAATTAAAAACACTGGTTAAAAATCATTTATAAAATGATATAAAACTTCATGGTTATCACTTCAGCTGATCCACTTCCAGCAGAGAAACAGAAACCCTGCAATTGAGAACAAAAGTACTTCATTACAACGGCCAGTGTTTATAGTCGTCAAAACTGTAAGATTATACTAAGGTTACCAAACTATAAACTGGATTTAAGATTCATAAACTGGTCTTAGTTTTTCCATCGATGAAAGTTAACGCCATGATCAATAGTCCTGCCACGGACCTGTTAGAATAGAAAACATTGTTGTAAACACGAGATTAAATGTAAAAAATGTAATTACTAACAGAAACTAAAATAATGAATAAAATGGTCTTTCTCACCCACTGGTTGGCCCTCCTGTACGGAGCCTGAGGGGACTGAGCAGCTCCTCTGCTGCCTGTTGAAAGGATGACAGCAAGGTCCAGATGAGATGCTACTAAAGCACATTTATCGAAACCAAAAGGAAAATAAAGCAAAGTGATAAATTGATAAGCAGCTGACCCCTTCATAAGATCTTACCTGAATAGCATTATGAATGAGGAACACTGCCATCTGGTGGTGGCAATGCATTACTGCTCTTAAGGTTGCACATCCCATTGTTCTCTCAAGAGCCAATTTCATATTAATTGGCCCATTGTGCCGAATTAGGTCCCAATACATTCGGGGTTCCGCTTGAACAGTGTTTCATTATAATACTTTCCACAAAGTAAAGTGATGTCCCTCTCCACCACCAGCGTCTGAATTTCAAACAAAGGCGTGTGAATGCTGCGGTGGATTTGCTGCCCCTAGTGCTGTAAGACGGAACTGAACACGCCCACCTTGGATGAGGCTCGGGACTGGAATGTGCCAGTCCAAGGCCAAAGGATGATTTTGGGGTCGACTCTATGATGGTAAAAGATGGATGTTTGCCTCCAGGGTTGTTCAGACCAATGGACCCATTTTACATTTCATTTGAAATCAAATTTTAATTTGGTGCTGCTGAGCATTTGAAGCTTTATACCAAAAAGGTGTCGTTGAATGACGTTTGTAAGCAGTGCTAGTGTTAATAGCTGCATTTACAGGAGGACAGTACTCTGTGCAAGGCAAGCTCACCCTGGAGTACCGTCAGGTGAGTTCCTCACTGTAGCGCAGAGGCTCTCATTGCTTCTCCACCTAGGCAGGTTGGAATAAGAGGACAGACACATGAAACAAAATACAATGAAGGCAATGCTGCTGAACAAAACACTTCAATGGAAAAAAAGATGACGACGAAAAATTAAGAATTTTAACCCTTCCCTCTGTAGAAATGTTAATGTGACGTGTAGACAGTAAATGTTTGTGCCAATGTTGCATATTATAGAAAAGACACACGTCGTAACTTCAGTCTTAAAAATATGCAAACCATGAGACGTCAGACAAACTTCATTTCTTCGTGAAACAAATTGAATAATTTTCCCATTCTACAAATACATTTGTTCTCTTAAACAGATGGTAAAGTACAAGTTTAACTGTGGATTGTGTCATGTTGATTGAAAAGGGTTGAAATTCTTAGCCTTGGCACTCTTATCCCATTGCCTAAATAGACATGAGTTTGAAGTTTTTGGATTCAGAAATGAAAGAATGGATCTTAAATGTTAAATATTTGCTTAAATTGAAATATTGAATGACAACACTGAATTTGAGTTTATCACAATTGACTGATGCTCAGCTGAGTTTTATTGAAACGGAACAAACGTAAAAGTTATAAATACAAAGACCATCAGAGAACAAACTATGGCTCTTAAGGTAAGCCAAACCAAATTCTAGTGGGTATGTTGAATAAAAACATAGGATGTTATATCATTTTTAAAAAAACACAATTTGACTACCTCTAGAAATGCTAGGCATACACTTGGAACATTACAAAACGTGATTTTGTCCTTCTGTGGATTCTTTTCTCCACCTTTGCAAAAAATGAAGTAATGAAGCTCTAACGATTAGCATTTATTTACAAGCAAAGCCCTAAGCAACTATGAAAAACCACAAATAAGGGAATACAAGAAAGGGAAGGGGAGGGCTTGGGAAAACCTTCTGCAAGGCAGTAATATTTAATGTCCTCTCAGACTTTTGAGAATGATGTCCATTTTGTGAATGTTCACGGTTGGCTTTAAAATAATCAGAAACACCAAGTAACAATAAAAGTGTTTAGTATGTATTTTTAAGACACATGTCCCAATGTAACCGAGTAGCATTCATTCACCACAACGGTTACGTTCATTCTTCAGCCAAAAGGCTTTGATGCCAATCATCTGGAGCCAATTCTGGGGTCTGTCCTTTTTTCTGAGGGATATATGTACAGATCGATTCATGAGGGATGAAGGATAAAAAAGTCAATCAAAAAAATTGTGGCCAATCTCCTGTTTTTTTCTGTTTTGTCGTTTTATTTTCTTTTGCCAAATACCTTTGGGGGTCTACTTCCACTGCTGCCCATAAGAATCCTGTGAAAACTCCATGGTGTCATTACTATACCCATAGTTACCGGAATAGTCGGCCCCCTGCTGCAGGGGCTGCTGCGCGATGGGCTGGGACCCCCAGTTCTGCTGGTTGTTGGTCTGGCGGCGCTTGGAGTCAGGCTGGTTAAACACGTCGGCCTTCCGCTTTCCGCCCACGTTGCCGCCGCGATTGCCCCGGGCCCCGCGAGGACCGCGGCCGCGCTGTGGCTGGAAAGGAGCCCCTCGGCCCCCTCTGGCGCCCCGTGGGCCGGCCAGGGGTGGTCCCCTCTGAGCATAGCCCCCACGGCCTCTAGTGAGCGGAGCACCACGGGCTCGAGGAGGGGGAGGGCCTCCACGGGCAGGACGGGTCCCACGGCCCCTCATACTGTACATGTCGTCATAGCCGTAGTAGGGGTCTTCGTAGCCCCCACGGTAGTCGTGGTAATCGTAGCCATAGTAGTCATCATAGTAGTCATCGTAGCCATAGTAATCAGGGGGATAGGCGTAGCCCCCTCGAGCCCCACGGCCCCTGCCTCGGCCTGGAGGAGGCATTCGTGGGGGTGGGTAGTAATAGTAGTCATCATACCTACACAACACAAACATGTGAATAAAACACACTGCGGTGGAGTGAAGGCCGAGAGCCGACTGAAGACTTGCCCCGAGTTCCTGGTCTGACGAGCTGCTTGACGCTCTTTCCTCTTCTTGTCCGGGGGCTTCGCCAAAACTATCTCAATCTCTTCTCCTCCGAGCTCCTGTCCATTCATCTCATCCATCGCCTGAACGAAAACAAATTGCTTCATAAAAATATGGATGGTACTAATAAAGTTAAAGAAAAGAACCAAAACCAGACCTTTACAGCAGAATCCCGCTCTTCAAAATGAACAAAAGCATAATCCTTCAGTTTCTTTACTCGCTCCAATTTCCCAAATTGGGAAAAGGTTTTCTCTAAAAGCTCCTCTGTCACAGACGAGGCGAGCTTCCTCACAAAGAGAACCTTCACCTTCAAAACACACAACTCATGTCAAAATACACATATCAAATAAATCATTTCAAAGACAAAGGAGATTCTTACTTTAGCCATGACCTCAGGATCAGGTTCTGCGACGGGATCGGCCCATTCCACCGTCACTGGGTTTCCCCAAACTTTCACTTTTCCGCTCATTAGTCGACGCCGAGCCTGAGCTGCAGATTTATGGTCTTCATACTCGAGAAAACAAAACCCACGATTCTTTTTTTTATCGTCTGGTTGGTGGTACAGTATCACCTCCTGGAGACCCTCTGATATAACAAAGCAAGTGTGTAAAGGACGAATGACTTTAATGTCCTGATGCATTTAAAAACTGACCTGTGACTTTGCCAAAGTCCTCCAAAATACTTTCTCTGGTCTTGTTCTTTGGGATCGATCCTACAAACAGTCGATTGTTCGCAACAGATATACACACCCCTAAGTATTTACCGGAACGGATTTCATAGTTATCACACTGAAAAAAAAAGAACAAATCAGTAGATATTTTATTTTAAATAGTAATATAAATGTAAGACTTACAAGCTTCACAGCCTTTTGGGCGTCGTCTTTATTGCAGTAGGTGATGAAGGCGTAACCACGGTTCTGTCCGGACAGAGGGTCCATCATTAACCTGAGGTCCCAGATGGGACCAGCAGTTTCAAAGAGAGGCACCAGCTCATCCTCGTACAAGTCACGAGGGATTTTACCAACAAAAACCTGAGGAAGTAGAATTATCATTAACATTTTACAGTAATGGGCAAAACTATGAATGCATTGAATAGTAATAAAACATGATACAAGAGGAACAGAATATAGACTGTAAAGGCCTTCAGGAAGTCACAGACAGAACAGACCAAAAGGCCGACAAACCACACTTTAACCCCAGTCATAAATACAACTACACAATACCTCAGTCCCAATCCCAGGTTGGGAGCCTGCAAATATCTCCTCTGGTGGAGGCCCTCCATATTTTCTCTGCCCTGTGGTTACATCTAAGGTGTAACCAGTCCTGTCCAAAAGGGCCTGAAAAATCCAACAGTTAGAATTGTTGTGGTGATTGTGAAAATGAGGCGATGGAGTTGGCCTACTTTTATTTTAGTTTCATCTGGGCCCTTGGTGGACTCTTGTACTTTGCTTCCTTGCTTCTCCCTTTGTCTGTACGTCTTCATCACTCCGCAAAGAAAAGCACTTTTGTTCTAAACAAAAGAAGACAAACTTAAAATAAACATTGAAAGTCTTGGGGAAGAAAGATGGGGTCAAGTTACCTGCACGTGGGAGAGGTCACTTTCTCTGAACTGCTGCAGTACAGTTTGGGCTCCTTCTTCGTTGAACTCCCTCAAAGCGTCGATGGCTCTCTCGTCCAGGTCCTCGTAAGCCACCAAGCCTGCAAAAGTAACACTGTCAACTCCAGAACACTTACTGCATACACTGATCTGAGGTTTAAAGGACAATATCCCATCACCTGTTTGGAAAATATTGTCTAAACTCTCAGCCACTTTCTGAGGAAGTCCAGCGTCAAGAAGGGTCTGGTAGTTCTCGGTGTGTGTGGCAGAGGTGTCCATGGGCTCCTCCTCTTCTTTTATAAGGACAGAGCTTCCGTTCAACTCCGCCATGTCCTGTACTAAAAACACAAAATACACAATTAGCGACAAATTTATGTGAATAGAATTATGATAAACACAACTTTAAGGAAAATAAACCAAATCCAAAAAGCGCGCAGTGAAAGACAGATTTATGACGATTCAATGCATTCTGTGTTTTAGGATTAACATTTTTGAGAGATTTGGATATTTGAACATAGCGCCCCGCCCCCTTCACATGGCCGCTCGTTAGCAGCGGTGCGAGCGGTTTATATGTGTATATGTAATGAATGTTTATGTGAAATATGCACATCAAAAACACATGCAAACACAACATACGCACACATACAAACGTGGAAGAGCAGGTCGCATGTATCAACAAAATCCCTGGACCATTGCACACGGCTAAAGCTAGCTCGGGCAGATCTGCACAAGGCCTTGCAGAGACGGCTCCTTCTGCAGATCACACAGCCGCGCCTCGGTCACACAATGGGAGCAGCTAGCAAGACTCACCGGGCAGTTTCAGGAGCACTGAAGTGGCGATATCACAGCTGTGTCGCCACTTTAGGGACAGAGGAGCAGAAATGTGGAGATTATAGACGCGCCGCAGACACGAGACAAATTTCCAGACAACGGGTTTCGTCGTCCGCCCAAACAACGCCCCACATCTCGCGAGAAGTGGCGAGAGTAGTCAGAATAGGCGCGCGCTGTCGGGGTGAGTGAGTGCACGCGGGAAAAAAAACAGTGTTTTTATTTTTCACATGTTTCAACAATATTTACAGTCTATGGTTCTAACTTGATAATATTACTTATTGTCATATATTAAATTAACAAAAGGAGGCGGTGGGATTTCATGAGGTTTGGATTCTTCCTTTTTAACCTGAATAAGTGTTTGTTGACGTTCTTTTTTGTTGTCTTGTATTTATTGTTCTTACTCTGTTGTTTTTATCCCATGTTCAAACAAACATTCATTTAACTTACATCACGGGAGAACAAATAAGGAAGTGGTCGAACTCCTCAGAAAAAATATCAAGTGTCACGAACGTTACTTTCGGAGCGTTCACTTTAAATCTTTAAATTGTGTTTATTAAAATACGTGTCATTATGAAATGTTTGCAATTTGCCCTTTATCAAAATCCAGATCATACAAATCCTTCATATTCACTGCCAAAAACAAAACTTGAAGATTGTAACGATAGGAAAACATCTTGACAAATGATTTTGCAAATTAACATTATTTATTGTTGTAATGTAGTGTAGTATCAAAGTTGTGCAACATCTTTCAACCAATTAATAATATAACCAATTACCTTTTGGTTACATACCTTGTTTGAATTCCAATTTTTTTCAGCTAGTAGCAGGTATCATTATCACAAATCGCATTTCTGAATGAAAATGGTTTATATCTAGTCTGGCCTTGAGACAGGCCTCCTCTCTGACAATGTTTAAAACCAAGTTAAAAACGGTGCTGTTTAGCTGTGCATACAACTGAGGGATTTTATATTTTTATCTTTCGTTTTAATGTTCTGTGATTATTTATGATTTTAATGCTATCTTGTTCAGCACTTTGAATTGCCTTGTGTATGAATTGTGCTATACAAATAAACTTGCCTTGCCTTGCCTTAACCATCCTTAAACTCCGGTCAATTATCATTTCCCCACAATGAAATGAGTAGAGTTGTATGGTAAGACCAGGCTAGTTATGTCCTATTCATTTCAATGTGTGTGTGCATGTGTGTGTGTAACAAGACAGAAGTACACTGTAATCTGTAAATGCAAAGCACAGCCATCAAAAGTCAGAAGGAAATATAAGACTTTTATTGGAATGAAATGGTCAAGCGCAGCAGGAGGGGATTGTGGGTAGATTGTCATGCTCTAGTCGTCGTGCTTCAGTTTCCGGATCTTTCCTTTGTGGCGGTCGATCTCTTTCTGTAGACGTTCAATTTCTTTTTTGTGGTGCTCTATTTCTTCGCTGTGATGCTTCCTCAGAGCCTCCATCTGCTCCTTCTCCTTCTGTCTGAAAACACAAACCAGGAATAAAAAGGTAAATGTGGAACGTGGTAAACTTGAGGCAATGTGAAGGTTTAGATGATAGAAAGATGTTTTAAATAGATGCCACCTACACTTTGAATGACCCGTGTACGACACCATTAGCACAACGTCATCTCCTTTAAACAAAAAATGAAACTTACCTGAAATATCGCTCTTCTTCTGCGGCTTGTTTACGTCCAAAGGCACCTCCTGCTTCCCTCACGGAGCCACCGCCGCCGCCGCCTTTACCTGCCCCTTTGCCCAACTCCCCGAGCTGGAAGACAAGAAGCAATTTGGGATATTATAGGCAAGGCAAGTTTATCTGTATAGCACAATTCATAGACAATGCAACTCAAAAGTGCTGAGCAAAACAAGATAGAAACAGAGACACAAGGCATTAGAATCATAAATAATCACAGTACATTAGAAGGAAAGATAAACACATAAAATATAAAAATCACAGCAGGAGTCCAGTCCCTGTGCTCCTCAGAGTCCCAGCAGGAGGCCAGTCCCTGTGCTCCTCAGAGTCCCAGCAGGAGGCCAGTCCCTGTGCTCCTCAGAGTCCCAGCAGGAGGCCAGTCCCTGTGCTCCTCAGAGTCCCAGCAGGAGGCCAGTCCCTGTGCTCCTCAGAGTCCCAGCAGGAGGCCAGTCCCTGTGCTCCTCAGAGTCCCAGCAGGAGGCCAGTCCCTGTGCTCCTCAGAGTCCCAGCAGGAGGCCAGTCCCTGTGCTCCTCAGAGTCCGAGTTGGTTCATATAATAATAATAATACTAATAATAATCTGTTTTATATGGTGCTTTTCAGGACACTCAAAGACGTTTCACAGACACTCCAAGCACAGTGGAGATAAACTACTACTGTAGCCACAGCTGCCCTGGGTCACACGGACAGAAGCGAGGCAACCAGTCTGTGCCGACTCACTTTCAAAACAGTTTTTATCTCTAGTTTATCACCTGCTGCATTTCTGCCCCGTGTCACAACTTCAGATCTGCTTTTTCAGACAGAAAAGAGAAAAGATCACTCTCACTCAAACATCTCTCAAATTCTGACTCAGAGCTTTGTCTTTCCTGCAAAAGACACGTTACATCATGTGCGGATTACAAAATAAATATTGTGCCAAAACAGTTGCCTCTGTCGATTATTCCACGTCATGTTAATGTACAACTAATTACGATATTATTGAACTTGTTTTTTTCAAAGGGGATTCTCGCATGTTTGGATGTAAATGGGTGCTTTCAGACTGTTTTGACTGTAAAGCATTCTTCCTATTAAACCTTTGCTCATTCCTTCAGTGTTTCTGCAGCTCAGGGGGTTGTCAAACTGCTCATGTCAACACTTGGACTTCTGCCAGTTTAAACACGTTTCATTAACAACATGAAACGCCCAGAACACACACCTTCCTCTCCTCTTTTATACATTAGTCATTCACCTTTGTTCTGAGGAGTGACTGACAGGAGCAGCCATTATCACTCTGTGCAATGCTAAAGTATCACGCCCTGAGATGAAACTTGAAAAACTTGATGAAATGAGACAAAACATAGTATTTGTTGTTGTCTTGAGTGAACCCATGTTGCACAATAAGAAACAGCTGCTTCATGAACACTATGCAAATCATTATTAAACTTAAAACAAGATTGCAAACATTGACATTGATTCCTAAACCTGCTTTTATCGCCTGTACATCACAAATACATAACAGATCAATGATCACAATTATCATCATTGACTGTCCACAGAAAACATGTCGCTAATTGAGCCGCGTTAGCCCACTATGCTAACGCTAAACCCCATCAATTACTCTTTTGCATGAGGTTTAAGTTTATTTACCTGGTCAGATGCCATCCTGATCTGAGAGGCCATGCAGGCCCTCAGAGGAGTCCTCAGAAGAAGCCCCGACATTGTTCCCAGGCTGATGCTAGCTACAGATGTGGACTTCGGCTGCTAGCCCGAGCACAACGCGGAAGTGAACGAGGAGGAGATAACAAGTATTTATTTTATTTTAAGTAAAACGTGTTCATACATTAAGGTCAACATAAATATAAAACAGAAATTAAATTTAAATAAGAATAGATGAAAGCTAGTTCCTTAAAATATTTTTCATTTTTGAGGCTTGCAGGATGAGAACCTCAAAAAAAACGGAAATTGTCTAAAAGTCTGTTGTCTTAACCTGTATATTCTTCACAATTCTGAGTTAAAAACGTCCGATTTGCTTGATTTATTTGCAGACGTGTCGCTTGTAATCTCCCTCAAATTAAAATTCTCTGGTTAATTTTCAGCCGACGAAGTGCATCAGACCTCACTACTGCCACCAGCTGGAAGAGCGTAAGAAGTGCATCTGTCTCTGGACCACTTCAAGTACTATTATGAGAAATGTGTTGTATTTGTATCAACTTTACTATATATATTGTTATAATTGAATACACAAAAACAAAAATTAAAAAGGTACCACTGTTTTGAATGACTTTAAAATGTAATTTGTGTTGTATCTCTAGACCTATAACAAAAGTAATTTACTTCCTTGGGACTAAATGACTCCATGGACTCTTTTTGTGCACTACTCTAGTTTGATAAACACAGGATATGAATACATGAGAATAAAATGTATTGTTGTGAGACCATGGGACTGAGAGTCAAACTGTAAACAAACGCTGGTCACAAGGAGTCACACTGGCGGCACGGTGGCTGAGTGGTTAGCACTCTCGCCTCTCAGAAGGTCCTGGGTTCGAATCCCGGTTGGACCAGGGCCTTTCTGAGTGGAGTTTGCATGTTCTCCCCGTGTCTGCGTAGGTTTCCTCCGGGTGCTCCGGTTTCCCCTACCACTAAAAATATGTACAATAGGTCTGGCATGTGCCTCCTGTACTGGTGACCCCACTAGCAAAATTCACAATTGTAAACCGCTTTGAGACTCCGATGTGCAGTGAAAAGGCGGTATATAAATAAACATTACATAAACATTACATACAGTTTTAGCGACTTGTATTACATTTTTCTTAATGGGACATTCTGCAATTGTGAAAGGAGATGATGGCTCAGGACAACAACTTCGTTTTATTTATTCAGTTTTTTGCTGTTATTTTTTGACCATCACAAAAGAAAATAATTACTCGTTTATGATTTCTCTCCAAAGTATCAAAGTATGAGTTTCGAGAATACCCTTAAACTGGCACTGCAGTATTTATTTTTCCTCTTTTCTCTCTACCCAAGGACAATGCAACCCTACACCGTTATAGTACACACACACGCACACACACAAACACGCACGCGCGCGCACACACACACACACACACACGCACGCACACACACACACTCACACACACGCGCACACACACACAAACACACACACACACACAACTCGTGCGTTTGTTCAGTCGTCATTCCAATCATTTGTTTTTTTGCATTTATCTCTGAAATTATCCCACACAGTCTTTTGCAACCCACACATTTATAACACACACACAAACACACACACACACACACACACACACACACACACAACTTGTGCGTATGTTCAGTCGTCATCATGTTTTTGCATTTACCTCAGAATTTATCCTGCACTTTATTACCAATACACTGTTGATAAATATATAATACAGACGACCCTATAGACTATACCACTGTATTCTTAAATACTGTTCCTGTAGAGTCATGCGGCCCTTTGGATGCTTCTATCAGGCCCCTGAGCCCTCCTCAATTTATATACATTAAGATTAAGATCAAGAGATATTAGGATTAAGAACATTTATTTGTCCCACAATGGGGTAATTTCAGTTTAAACATCATAGAATCCCCCTCTGTGCTGTGTGCATAGTGTTTTCATATAAACCATCAATTTATGTTTTAAAATGAATCTTGAGAAAAACATTGGAATACCAGACGGCTGTCGGGATTCCAATGTGGCCCTCAGGAGGAAAAGTCTGTCTGCTCTAAACCTTTGCCCATGTCTTTGCCGTGGAGATGCTTTATGGCCGTGTGCCGCTGAAGTGAGTTCGTTTCCACAGCCGTGAATGAGACTCGCACAAAGGAGCGAGATGAGAGTCTGAAGGTGTTGTACCGATGACTCACGCCGCTGATGGAGAGTCTCTTCCTGTTTGCCCAAAGACGCACCGTGACCTCTCCATCCTTCACCCGTCCAGCTACAAGTGCGATGACGTGGGCTTTTCTTCCTGTTGCATTTTGTAGGTCATGATCTTCGTCGCAGTTGAAGGTCAAAAGAAATGGAATAAATGTCTGCGCTGTACGTGTGGTTCTCAAAGCAGAGGATTCCGTTTGTTTGCAGCTTAAAAACCCGTTGGAATATTCCTGTTAAAATACCCTGTGTGCACAAAAGACAACGAAAGGTGCATTTTTAAAGTTTTTTGAGTTTTCTTTTGTCAAATACACGTTACTATAAAGCGCTCTGGGAGTTCCTCTGCCTTTAGCTTCAGGAGAATCTCTAATAATGATTTCAGGTGTGGCGCAGAGGACAGTATTTACAGAGCCAGGTGCTACAATTCCAAAAGCTATTATTTTTTGTCATTTAGTACCATTTTTGTTATTTATTTTTTCTGCAATAAACAAATGGATCATATCTTATTCTTTTTAAACTATTTTTCCATAAGTGACACAAACAGACACGCAACATTTTCCCAACGTTAAAACTCTGTCACGTTTCATCAGGAGAGTCGGAGTCGATATCACTCTGAAAAGTTTGACAAACCCTGGATTATACAAAACACATTTGCGCCAAAATGTACTGTTAGGTTGATTGAAAATGTGTTGAAATTAAAATGTCTTTCCAGATTTTGCTTTGAGTGCTTCCATTATTATTTATTAATATTATTTACTGTTGAACTGGAGACTGATGTTTCCCGACTGAGATGGAGAAAGATCTGTGCATTTGACACCTGTTTTAAATACAGAAAAATTCAAAATTTTAAAATTCAAGTTTTACTCTGGGCGGCACGGTGGCTGAGTGGTTAGCACTCTTGCTTCTCAGCATGAAGGTCCTGGGTTTGAATCCTGGTTGGAGTTTGCATGTTCTCCCTGTAGGTTTCCTCCAGGTGCTCCAGTTTCCCCTAAAACATGTGCCAAAGATCCAGCATGTGCCTCCTGAAGGCGACTGCTCCATCTCTGTGTGGAGTGAGAGACAAACAAGTGTAAAGTGCTTTGTGACTCTGTGAAAGGTGCTGTATAAATAAATACTTACTTAAAGTTGCAGTTTTTAGATGTGCAGGAAGTGGCACAGTGTTCTAGAACTGAAGAAGACTGGACTCGGACCTCACAGGAGCTTTTAGACTCGTCACAAAGTCTCAAATGATTCACTCATAAAATAAAAGTAAATTTTTGTCATTTACTGTAGATCGTCAACATTTCTTTGTACACTGGAGGAGATCGGTAGAGCAGAAGGTCGCGGGTTCGAGCCCACCATGAGACCACCTCCAACTGCTCCCACAAATGTCTGCTGTCGTTGTGTCCTTGGGCAAGACACTTAACCCCATGTTGCCTGAAGCCCCCGCTGAAAGATCTCAGCTCCTGTGGACTGGTGCTATGAGCTTTGGGTGCAGCTCTCTTTTTTTTTTTTTTTTTTTTTTTAATTTCTTGTGTAATTTTGAAAGTTTTAATGGTTTTATTCTTTTGTGTGATTTTAATGTTTTAATTGTGTTTTAATCTTTTGTGCGATTTTAATGTTTTAATTGTGATTCTGGTGTTTGTTTTATGTGATGATTTGTGATGTGGACTGTGAAGCGCTTTGTGTTGCCCTGTGTATGAAAGGCGCTCTACAAATAAACTTTGATTGATTGATTGATTGAGTTTTAATTAGAGATCTTGAATCACCGTCACCATTAACATTTGAAATGCAATTACCAGCTGACTGTTTCATTGAAATCAAACCAGAAACTAAAGAAAAAGACATTATAAAAGCCTTATGTAATGATTAAGTTGCATTTATTGGACCAGGATATTGCACAACGTCTCGTATCAAAGCGTCTGATTTCATAAGAGCGAGCAGAGCAGGGTCAGCTCAGCTCTAAGACTCCACTTCCTGTCGTTGAATTGTGCAGTAACGACCGAGCAACAAATGGTGGCAGTGTGTTCCCGCCGAGCACCAACCTCCTCTTGTATAATCTGAGCACTTACAGAATGGAAAAGATTCTTTGGAAACTTGTGACGGTCGAGAAAGTGGCTCCTTCGCTGGATCCCGAGTGGTGTTGTGCTAATACTAAGATTGCACGGAAGCTGTGTTGTCGTTGGTGATGCATCTGCAGATTGGTGTGAAAAAACAGGTATTAAATATGGTTATGCACGAGAAGAATGAGGTCCAATGTGTGTGATAGTATGTAGGCCAACGGGGAAAGGATAATCAGATGTCATTTGGAGTCGGAGTCGAAGGAGAAGTGCGTCAATACGTCGTTTATCATCAAAGGCAGTTTCCGGTCCCTCTCCTCACATGCTAGCCTGAGATAGATCCATGATGCTAGCAGACTGAGCCTCATCCATACACACGGGTCACTGATTTCTTTTGTGCTTCCCAAACTTAAACCGTGTCCTGAATTTAAAGGTCCCATGGTTTTTGGGTGTAGGATCCAGAACCAGCTTTTCCAGGAGGGTTCTCTTAATATCTGTTTTGTGGAGATGGTTGACCGTAAAGAGCAGGGCTGTTTAACTTCATCTACAGCAGTGAAACTTAGGTGTATCTTGAACCGAACCAATAAATAAGAGAATATGTTTGTATGTGTCTGTGGAAGGTGAGTCATGGGTTTGCAGGCCTTGAATAGTTGAATAGTTCTGCTCGAGAGACGGTGGAGTTTGAAATGTTTTGTTCCAGGAAAAAAACAGCAACATCTTTTTGGAAAATAGAAAGTCTGATCCACACGAACCTTTTATGTTTTACAAGGTTTTAGGGACTTCAGTAAAATCAA